ATAAGCGAAGGAACGTTTAAAAAACTGTGGTTGCTAGGCTCAGTGTAAACTCCAGGAATTTTTGCTGGGAAGCGAACCCGGTGGCCGGGGAACGGGGTAGAGATGGAGGACATTGTCAGCTTTTAATGCAAAAAGCACATTTTGGAAATGCTTAAATTCCACGATTACTACCCTAGATGTACATCCACAGCTGGTGCATGGTAGTGTTATTCGCCTCATCTACGTCCTTTGACAAATAAGGCTTTCATCCAACTCCCTGATATTATTCGTTCATTTCACCATTGTTTCGCTGAAGACGTGAAATTTCACGAGCGGGTGGATATTTTGGGTCGATGAGCAGGCATCTGCCTCCAGAGGGTTGATGCCAAAATACGACCTGGGCACCAGGCTGGTGAGAATTCGAATGCGAATCCATAGCTCACTCCACAGGGCCAGAATTTTCATGCGCCAAGATTTCGCGGGCTGCTTTTCAAGAAATGAGACGTGTTGTAGCATTTTACGCGGAAACAAATTTGAAAGTTTAGAATACGAACTGCCAAAAGCAATGTGAAAAACACCATAAAGCTGGAATTTCACCTGTAAAATCCAAATAATAAAATTAAGACCCTTCTGTCATACGCCTGTTATCTGAGCCCCGCTTCCGTCCGGCGCCGGTGGCCAATGCCTTGGCCCGGCTGTCCCCAGCATGACTGGCTGCGAACTGGTCTCATGACTGCTTTGCTGCTTGTTTATGGACCAGCATCACCAATTGTTGGCGTGTAAAACAGACATTGGACGTCCGCTGCAGAATCTATTTTCGAATTATCTTTCCTTACGCCATGCCACAGCAGAAAAAAAAAACTTTCGGAAAGCTGCCTGCCGGAATTGGTCTACCAGGCATTCATTTACCCCTCAATGTAGCCGGCTTGATTTGCTTTTGACACAGGCCTGCTGATGGTGTCCCCAAAAAGGAAAAGCGCCGGGTATAGCTCAATCGCAAACGCGCACCCGGTGCTCTTTGCTTTGTCTATATTTTTACCTTGTGACCAGAACAGAACGGAAACTAGAAGCTACCGCGATATAAATTATGTTTGATTTCAAGCCAATATATTAAAGAAACAAATATAATGCATGGATTAAATCACCGGCGCTCTCCATCTTGCAATGGTTCAGTGGACTTTTTATAAACAGATACAACTGAGAAGCCCTGCCATATTTTTTGTTCTTTTGACACACATATACATATATATATATATATATATATATATATATATATATATATATATATATATATATATATAGGGCCTCTGGGCGTAGATTGCAGACCCGAACGGGGTCTAAAATTTGTGCTGATGTGGCTAATCAATGTTGGTCTTGAAATGTTTAACATTCAGTCAGAATCTATTACCGAGAAAAACTATGTATCATGGTTTTTAACATGAGCACTTCCAAATCTTAGCAGCAGCAGCCTCACTGCCTGCGCTTGCGGTCTCCACAGGCACGCGGCGTTCGTCCCGCGGCGTTCGTCCCGCGGCTGACACTAAGCGGTCACCAACAGGAAGACGAAAATGGTGACGTATCTGAAAGAAGTGCTTTTGAAGGCTTTAGGAAAACAATTTGCATATTGGAAAGAAATTTGGGCGCATATTGGATAGGTGCAATTTTCAGATTGAAAATCACCACGGACAAGCCTTCAAAACACTGCGAAGTGGTGCTGGAATGTGGTGGTCGATCTAGAACACTTAAGGTAGCATCTCCATTTTCGTGTTGTGGTGATTTATAATTTGGACAGAGGGCATCTAGCTCTCCACAGTCAATATCGGGTCATCTACTGATCAAAACGGGCCTTTGTAGCCCAAATTGGCCGCGGCAGTCGATAATAGGCACTCTACCGGCCAGAATGAAGGACCCCAATGGCTAGAATAAAAGGAACTTCAGTCCATAATGGGCCCTCTACCTGAGTCGGCCTCTCTGCAGGTCAGGACGGTATCTGACAGACTCATACCGGTTTTTGGTCAGAACAGAGTCATATAGTCATGGTTCTTTGCCAGAACAGAGACTCATACTGGTTTTTGCTCAGAACAGACCCATACTGGATTTTGGTCAGAACAGACTCATACTGATTTTTGGTCAGAACAGACTCATACTGGTTTTTGGTCAGAATGGATCCCGAACAGTTCAGACTAGCCCTCTAAAGCTCAGAATAAATTTTGCATGGCCTACATAATTTATTTATCGTTCAGAATCGGCTCTTAACATACCAGAATGGTTCCCCCACAGGCACTCCAAGTCGGGGGGGGGGGGAGGGCGCCCCCCCGAGCTTTTAATTTGAGGGCCCCACTGCCCCTCCCCCGTCCCCGCGTCCTTGAACGAAAAACAAGGAGCGCACCGCTCAGTAAAGCAATCAAAACATAGGACCCATCAGTCAACACGACCTCTTCGTTGGCATTCCCTGCCCTAAAATGACACAAATGACATGGTAAATTATGTGAGGAGGTCCTCCAACTTCTGACGTTGTCTCCTCCCGCCGTCCACCGTTTCGCTGTTCCAGCTGTTGGCGTTGCTGACCGTCCTGCAACCGCCGGAAGCCGGCGGTGACACGGTTTCGTCCTCTGACCTTGTCTCCGTGTTGCAGCTGCTGGCGTTGCTGACCGTCCTGCAGCCGCCAGCAACCGGCGGTGACACGGTCTCGCCGGCGGGGCAGGGTCCACCTCCTGGCTACGGCACCCCGAAGCCGTTCACCTCGCACAAGCCACCAACCGTCTTTATCGGACTCGACGAGGGCGAGGTCGCCAGCGGGCAGGTCGTCCATCACGGTGAAGGTGCTGTCAGTGACGGCAGGAGGATCGTCGGCAGCGACGAAGCGAATGCCGTGAGAGATGGCGTGTTCGATCACAACGGAAGCGGTTTCAGTGAGAGCGTAAGGGTCTCAGGACACGGCGGGAGCGGTCTCAGCGAGAGCGTAAGGGTCTCGGGACACAGCGGGAGCGGTCTCAGCGAGAGCGTAAGGATCTCGGGACACAGCGGGAGCGGTCTCAGCGGGAGATTAAAGATCTCGGGACACGGCGGCAGCGGTCTCAGCGAGAGCGTAAGGATCTCGGGACACGGCGGGAGCGGTCTCAGTGAGAGCGTAAGGATCTCAGGACACGGCGGGAGAGACGTCAGCGTTAGAGACGTCGGCGTAGAGCATGAAGGCGTCCGTGTTGGCAGCAGCCATGGAGGGTTCGCCACCGGGCACCGCGGCTCGTCAGATTTGCCTCGGGGTCAAGCAGGTCAAGAGGCGGACCTGAGAAGCCACAGGGGTCATCAGACGGTGGGAAAAGGTCACGAAAAACACTTCAGAGTTCAGACCGTAGGTCATGGGCCTCGGCTGGTCACCACTGTGACGTCACCCTCCGAGGTGGAGGATGGCACACCGCATCAAAACGTCCCGAAGGAAGAGCACAACTCATACAGCGACGCAGGAACGGATGGCGCCCCACACGTTTCGCGTAACATTCTTACGCACCAACGTAGCCCACGTCCCGGCGTGAGCGTGCATGATCAGCACGGTTCGCGTGTCACGCCCGCGTGGTCTGGCGTGACAGGTCAGCGTGACGAGGGCGCCGGGGCGTCGGTTGCCGGCGCCGGCTTCAAGAGCAGCAGCGACACGTTCAAGCTCCGTCCTTCCGAAGCCCCGTCACCAAGCGCCAAGACACATGACATGCACGAGGACACCGCCCATACCCCTGGGCACGCGAAGACCGCCACTTTATACACTGCGTCCGCCACGTCCAGCCCTTTCGCCGACTACGGCCCGCCCAACGCCGTGGTGCCGTACCGGCCGCCGCCGACGCCCGGCTACAGCACCGCCGCGGCCTACCCGGGCAGCGTCGGCAGCGCCGGCTACGGCGCCAACTACGGCCGCTACGTGGGCTCGCAGGCCGCGGCGTACCTGTACAGCCGTCTGGTGCGGGGAGGCGCCACCGCCGAGGCGCCCCGGTACGGCGGCGCGGCGCGGCGCGGCGCCGCCAGGCCCGGCGCCGGTGTCGGCCACACGGGCGTGCGCTACGCCAGCGGCGCGCCGGCGCGCCCCGTCTACAGCAGCGCGGTGTACAACGGCGCCGCACGGGCGGCGTACAGCGGAGCCGCGAGCGGGTACAGGGCGCCGGGTCGGCCGACGCCGCAGTACTACGGCGACTACCGCTTGCCCGGGGTCTACAACGCGTTCCCGGGCGCCGCCTCCGGCCACGCCACCTCGGCGGGGTCCCGTGACCGCGGTCGGGCGCCGCCGTTCCGGCCGTCAGCTGACGTCGGCACGCCGTTCGGCTATCGTCTCCCGACGGGGGATCCCAGGGCCGAGTACGGCACGCCCAAACCGGCCAGAAGGACCGCACGCCGCTGAGCTTGTGTCCGCCGGGCGAAGATGCGTCGCTTCTGCGCTGTTGATCAGCTGGCGCCACGCTGTTGCTTTGGTTACTGCGTTGTTGCCGTTTGATTGTGTTGTAACTTACCGGAGGATTACTTTGCCAGCGCGGGTGGAGACTTGCGATAGGTCTGCCATCTACCGATGTTCACGCAGGTGATATGCAATGACATAACGGAAGTGAGGCGTGACGTTGGTGATAACCGCTTCTGTCTTTACTTACGCTGGTCTCGACGCTACACATGATGCCCAAAATTGGAAGCCGCCCTTCACTGTCTCTTTCAGGCCTGCGGGGAGACCGGCCCGTAACGCGTCCGCCATTTGTTTCGTCACTGGCAGCCTTCTCGTCGCAGGGCATTTCCGTATACCAACTACCAACTATTTCCATCACCTCCAAAATCGATATGAAATAAGAACCCTTTGATGTTAACAGTATCAAGAGAAAGGTGCAACCCATTCTGCAGCTATAACAAAAAAAGCCACGAGCGGGGAGTACCTCCACCTCCTTCCCTTTTAATGTAAGCGGTTGACAGGTGACAGGACAGTGGTAGGACAGTGACAGGATGTGACAGGACAGTGACAGAACAGTGGCAGGACAGTGACAGGACGTGACAGAACGTGACAAGACAGTAACAGGACGTGACAGGACATGACAGAACGTGGCAGGACATGACAGAACGTGACAAGACAGTGACAGGACGTGACAGGACATGCCAGAACGTGGCAGGACTGACGGCGGGACGCGAGACGGCTGCTGGTGTGCACCGTCCGAAGTCACTCTCATTGCAGCTTTCGTGTATTCACGGCGTACATCCGCTGTCATTACCGACACCAGTCCATGTAAAAATGGTATTTGGACGCACACGTATTGACGTCATAAATCCGCTGATAACGCGGAAAGAAGCGCTCACAGCGGGAGAGTCTGAATTAACACTCACCCTGAAGCATCTTGTGATCAAATGCATCCTCATCTGACGCGAGCAGTCAGGTAGCTGCTCATAAGACCCAGGAAAGTGCTATGACCTCCACATTCTTATGCAGACAGTTGTCGACCTCGAACATACTGTGACGTGGGTTTCAAACAAAGTTGTCGCTCAAACAATGGTTATAGTGTCAGGTCCGATCACTGTATGTCCCCACAACATAGCCAGCGTTCACTTGATAACGTCGTTTGCTGAGTGCCTCCTGGCATATTAACAGTATTCGACTGTCAGCATAAAGCCCTGAACTCTTAATACCGAGAAAAAAGGAGCTCAAGCCGCTACTTCCTCATAGCACGCCTAACAAGGTCGACAGTGGTCTGCAAGCATAACATCTGGTGGTATTTTCAGACACTGCTGCCATCATAGTTGTATGCTATATACTAAGCAATAGGAACGTACGCAAGGGCATTGCACTGTAAGCAATGGACCTTACAAACGCTAGCCCCGGCGGCCGGTACAAACGCTGCATCAACTCCGCCAGCTGATGCATTCGTCCTGTCAAACAGACGCATTCGCAGTTCAACACCCCAACCCTGGAATGAGGCCATAAGGATAGTGCCCGCAGCCAACGAAAGCAGCGAACGAACATACCTGTTTTCGCCAGTGCCACAAAATTTGCGCTAATGGCAAATCTTCATAATATCAACGATGCGACTGCAGTAACCCTTATCGATTTTACTTAGCCTCAGAATAGTCAAGTGTGCATTTTGTTTTAAATGGCTGAATAAGCGAATCAACAATGGCAGGCGCCATGTGACCATAGCTGTTCACCTAGCGGGGATGACCACCACTCATTTCACACGGCCACCAGCTGATCAGCTGTCACTTCTCACTTCGCCATCCCGTTGATCATTCCCTTTCCCACACTGATCACTGTTCACACTCCCAGACCGCTCGCCGTTGACTTTTCGAGACTTATCAGTGTTCGCTGTTCCATACAGATCACTGGTCACTGATTCACTGATCACCGTTCACTTTATCAGATAGCGAGATGCTCATTGCTCGTTTTCGAACCGTTGGAAGCCATTCTCCCGCGACCTTGCACCGATTCCGTGCCGCAGCTGATCTAGGCTGATGGCAGCGGGTGCCTGCAGCGCCGCCTGGCGCCAGCCGTCTGAGGTAGAAGTGTCGCGGACGCCGTCGTGGGCGTTGCCGATGACGCCATTTGTCGTGGTGCTCGTGGTTATTTCGAGGTGATCCTAGAATTATCGAGTGTAAGACGACAACAATATGAAACGCTCGTGAGTCATTCGAGTTAACGTTTTGTTTAAAGACAGGTTCACATCTTCTGACCAGACGGCAATACTGCTACAGCACAGCTAACTTCACAATGTGATGAGTATTGCAGCTGCAATTAAACACGACACACTCACTTATATTTTTATACCACACTTCCTTCCCACATCCTTAAACCAGCTGTCCAACCCCGCAGTTGGACATGTCACCCCCTCGATCATGTGATCCTCCGCTTCCTTTTCGTTCCCTCCCTGTCTCCAATGCGTCCGCTGCCCCTTCCCCCCCTCCCCCCGTACCCCACCGCCCTCACCGTGCCGTTGTTCTCCGCCACTGGCCTGCTCTCCCGCTGGTAGCTCGGGTTGGCGAAGCTCAGTCTGTCGACGGAGCTGGCGTTCTGCCGCTGCCGGCGCACCATCCAGACGCCGGCCAACACCAGCGCCACCAGCACCAGCAGCAGCAACACCAGCGCCACGGCCAGCACCGTGCCCGAGCCCAGCTCCGACCCTGCGGGTGCGTGAGCTGATTCAACGGCAGGCAGAGCTCATGCAGACCAATGCAAGCCAGCCATTGTGATGCGATAAATGACGTCACACCACCACTGCATGCGTCATGTGCGCACGTGCAGACGCTATCTGCACATGCGCGCGTGAATGAAACTCGCAATATCCGCGCCATGTCCTCTCCAAGCTGAGCGCCGTGTTAGACGGACCGCGCTCGGTGCGTACGAGGACACGTGGAGCCCTGCGTCTGCGTAGACTGGGCCGGCGTCTCTCTCCCCACCTCTTGCACATCGACCACTTCCTGCATCGAGCCCCAACCTCGGTCAAAGTCACCAGTGACACAGCACAGAGATGTAGCGATACTTCCCGGGTCCCTTGGTCTCCCTGCGAAGCTAATGGAGCTTCAGTCATGGACGCTGTGCCTGTCGTGCTCTGGGTGCCGTACGGATCATATCCAGCGCGCGGCGCCACGGCGTCCCGCACCTCCGGGGCTAGGCGCCGACACTTCGTCCAGGCCGGCGGTGAAGTTCAGCATTCGGGACTGCAGACTGCTGCCGTAGTGGTTGGCCGCCTTCACCGTCACGTGGTACAAGCTGCCCGGCTGCAGGCCACTCAGCCGGTACCAGGTGCTCCTCGTGTCCACGTGACCGGAGGTGGGCTGGCCTTGCAAGCGCCAGGTCAGCCTGTGGTACACAGACGGGTCAGAACAACACAGGTTTTTGGTACAGAGACGGGTCAGGAGACAGAACAGTCTGTGGTACACAGACGGGGCAAGAGACAGGACAGCCTGTGGTACACAGACGGGTCAGGAGACAGGACAGCCTGTGGTACACAGACGGGTCAGGAGATAGGACAGCCTGTAGTACACGGACGAGTCAGGAAACAGGACAGCCTGTGGTACACAGACGGGTCAGCAAACAGGACAGCCTGTGGTACACAGATGGATCAGGAAACAGGACAGCCTGTGGTACACAGACGGGTCAGACGACAAGGGAGCTTGTGACACACAGACGAGTCAGGAGACAGGACAGCCTATGGTACACAGACGGGTCAGGAAAGCACAGTTTTTGGTACACAGACGGGCCAGGAGACAGGACAGCCTGTGGTACACACACGGGTCAGGAGACAGGACAGCCTGTGGTACACAGATGTGTCAGGAGACAACACAGCTTGTGATACACAGACAGATCAGGAGACAACACGGTTTGTGGTACACAGATGGGTCAGGAGACAACACAGTTTGTGGTACACAGATGGGTCAGATGACAGGCTGTGACGGCCGTGGGACGGCGCAGTTCAGGGGATGAGTGATGACGGGATGGGATGGTGCAGTTCAGACGATGACTGATGATGGGGTGGGACGGTGCAGCTCAGAGGATGAGTGCTGATGGGATGGGACGGTGCAATTCAGACGATGAATGATGATGAGATGGGACGGTGCAGTTCAGAGGATAAGTGGTGAGCCGATTACTGAGAGGTCAGGCGCTCAGGACAACTCGGCGGCTCCGTGGTCGGCGACACAGCGAAACATGGGAAGAGCCAACGGAGAATGATAGATTGGAATGAATGTGAGAGAAGTGGAGCGAACGCGGTGGTCATATCCCCCCCCCCCCCTCCCTATGATGGCCCAAGATTCGCAGACGAGAGCCAGAGGAAGGAGAGGGGCACTTGACACAGGACACAGGGACATGAGGGACACAGGACACATGCCGCGTATGAGTGGCTGGTGCGATGGATGTCCCTGCCTTTGATGCAGACGCTGGAGTCAAACAAAGTTCTTACTCTGCGAAATATGCCGGAGATTTGTAAATAAAATGTCTGTATCGAGCCCTCCAGTGCAAAAGACCCGGCGACACGTGGCATACAAGTAGACACTTAAGAATCTAAAGACAGTAGAAATAGTCAAAGTCGACAGCGCAAAGGCAAAAGTGTAGTGAAAATAGCTCAGTGCTAATCTCCCCAAACATACGTCAGTGTCGGAAAAGCACAATCGCGGGGATAATTGGCCACCAAAAATCATGAGATCACAACGAACTGGCCACCCACAACGACACCAACTTGGTAAATCACCTCAGCCAGTTGAAGAGTGGCACACACCTGTACAACTCGACTTTGTCCGTGTTCTTGACGGGTGGGTTCCACAGGACTCTGACGTCGGAGCTGTTGATGGCCTCCACACGAACGTTATAGGGCGGCCCTGGCAGCACCGCTGAAACACGTCATGATGACGTCACAATGGTCAACACAAACGTTATAGGGCGGTCCTGGCAGCACCGCTGAGACACGTTATGGTGACGTCACAATGGTCAACACGAACGTTATAGGGCGGCCCTGGTAGCACCGCTGAAACACGTCACGATGACGTCACAGTGGTCAATACGAACGTTATGGGGCGGGCCTGGCAGCACCGCTGAGACACGTTATGATGACGTCACAATGGTCAACACGAACGTTATAGGGCGGCCCTGGTAGCACCGCTGAAACACTTCATGATGACGTCACAATGGTCAACATGAACGTTATAGGGCGGGTCTGTCAGCACCGCTGAAACACGCCATGATGACGTCACAGTGGTCAAAGAATAGCAGCAAGACATGTGTGGGTCACACACGAGGTGCTACCAGGCCCGGGTGGCCTGGCATAATGATTGTATTCGTTCAACACATTATTGACAGATGAGTGTTCGGGCATAACTCTTAAATGCCGCAGTGTTCAGTGACACACCATCTAGGCAAGTGTACACTGCACAGGTGCATTTCCAAGCCTCACACAATCAGCTTATTCAGCCAGGCGCGGATAAGGATGATGTGTTTCACTCTCACATGACCGGCACAACAATAAAGTGCGTCGTGTATTACACCAGGCATAACGTGTTCCCAGTGGCATATATTGTGATCGCGACACAACAGCCTTAAATGGAAACAAAGAAAAAGAACCGGCAAAACTGTGGAACCATGTAACCAAGTAGCCCGGCCGACAACGCATCGAGCTGACCCGCCATCGAGACACCTCAAACCACCACCACCTCATAATCGTCGGGCTGCCCAGCCATCGCGACACCTCATACAGCCACCACCTTATAAACGTCGAGCTGCCCAGCTATCGCGACACCTCATACAGCCACCACCTCATAAACGTCGAGCTACCCAGCCACCGAAACACCTCACACCACCACCACCTCATGATCGTCAGGCTACCCAGCCATCGAGACACCTCACACAGCCACAACGCTCTGAGGTTCGTCGGTGGCGGCGGCCAACTGTACCTTTGCCCTGCTCGAAGCACTCGACGACATCGCTGACGTAGCCGAGGGTGCAGCTGGTGTCGTCAGGGACCGGTCGTCCCCGGCACCAGTCCAGACAGCGGTCCGGCACCGACCGTGACGAGCAGCAGTCTCTGTGGTCTGACCCGTCTGCCGAGGCGGCGGCCGGGTGACGGGCCCGTGGAACAAGGACGTCTGTACATCACCGCCACGCACACGCTACCACCCTAGCTTGCTTTTGTCGGTCGGCTCGTCTCAGTCCGGTCCGGTCCGGTCCGGTCCGGTGTCTTACGTCGCCCTGCCCCTGCCCAGCACTATCCTGTATCACACCACCACGCAAACCTGTGCCAGCCTGCCCCCGGCCGTCACACTCCAACCCGACCGTCGGCGCGTACCTGCCGCGCATGTCATCAGCTTCCCGAGCTCCTGCATGCAGCCGGGCAGACCCAGAACGGCGTCCAGGTCGACGTCAAATGCGCAAGCGCGCTGACACGGCTGGCTGACGTTCAGCCGCCGGCAACACTCTGCCACGCCCAGGTCATATAGACGCAGCGGAACCTGAAACGGCGGAGCGACGGCGGGTCAGCGAGGCGCGGGGTGGCGAGGCTCGAGTCGGTGCAGAGAAGCGAGGCGTGGAGGGGGAGGCACTCAAGTCAGTGCAGAAAAGCGATGCGTGGTGGTAGCGAGGCTCGAGTCAGTGCAGAACAACGAGGCATGGAGGTGGCGGGGCTCGAGTCAGTGCAGAGAAGCGAGGCATGGAGGGGGAGGCGCTCAAGTCATTGCAGAAAAGCGAGGCGGGAAGCGGCTGGTGTCGGTGCGTAAAAGTGAAGCTACATTTTCCCTTGACCAACGTTTCTAACATGGTTCCCCAGGACGTTTCTAACATGGTTCCCCTAACGTTCCCCATGATGACGCCACCACCAGATCGGATCACATGACCTGACCTTAATCCCGTTCTTCATCGGCCAATGGAAGCCCATCCCCTTCTTCGCGGTAAGCACATTCCCTACCTATGACGTCACGGCCCAAGTCCATTCCCTTTTCGACCGAGAGCCCAATTGGGTACGTTTGTTTACAAGTAAGTCGTCGCTATTGACATAGCCGCCGATGGCCGATGCGCTGCTGCCAGTCGCGTGGGTTCGGTGCGTAGGTGGGTCCCAGTCGCACGTGCGTGGAGTGATACGACAATTATGTATTTAGCCACAACACTTTTCAATAACTGTCCACTCGAATACTATTCCATCACCCCATCCCAGTGCGTTTATGTCTCCATCGACTTCGATCAGCTGATTCTGCTATATTTGATATGCTATGATACGATATGATAGATGATAGCCCATATTTGGAAGTCACGCCGTTTTTCACCGGCGTGCATCTGTGACGCCCCCCAATGGAAGGAGCTTCGGTCGTAAGCCAATGTGGAGCTGGCTCTGAGGTCGAGGCGTGGTCGGCCGGCGAATGAGCAAAGCTACGACCTTCATGTGGCGACATAACTTGGCGTGTGTTGGCTCGGCACCGAAACATTCGTGTTGTTGTTTCTACGCTCTTTTCATCACACAGCACGCACCTGCCGCTGGCTGATCGTCACACAGCACGCACCTGCCGCCGGCTGATCGTCACACAGCACGCACCTGCCGCTGGCTGATCGTCACACAGCACGCACCTGCCGCTGGCTGATCGTCACACAACACGCACCTGCCGCTGGCTGATCGTCACACAGCACGCACCTGCCGCCGGCTGATCGTCACACAGCACGCACCTGCCGCCGGCTGATCGTCACACAGCACGCACCTGCCGCTGGCTGATCGCCACACAGCACGCACCTGCCGCTGGCTGATCGTCAGCGTCTGGGCGTCCTTCCCCAGCACGTTTTCGGCGTGACAAGAATAGCCGCCGAAGTCGCTGACGGTTAGCCGGTGGATCAGCAGTTCCATGGTGTAGTGGCCCTCCTGGCGAACATCAGGCGAACGGTCAGCCGACCAAGCCGGCTCACTGACATCTGGTCACAGCTGCGTTCGGTTCACTGGGTAAGAAGGCAAATAGATGAGCCTCGGGTCATGGATCTTGGATCAAAATGATGTAGGAGCTGAACTGATTTTCATTGGTAGAGATATCAACCGATAGACACTAACCTGCTCTTTCCAGGTCCCTAACCTAACTCAACGGATTCTGGTGGGTATGAATACTGACTCTGACATCGCGACATGAATAATGGCATTGACGTCTTGCACCCCGACCTCATCTCCCTGACCCCTGGCTTTCGCCATCGGGATCGTGACCCCGACTCCACATTTACACAGCGAGTGCACGGGCCTCGGCTGGACTTGAGGCCCTCTGAGCCTGGGCCTCGGCCGGACTCGAGGCCCTCTGACCTGGGCCTCCCGCCGTTGGCTGATGCTGTAGTTCCCCCCGTTGACGATAACGCTGCGGACGAAGGAGTCCCGTCGGAAGACGAGCGTCGGCTCCGGACTGGCGTCCACGCGGCAACGCAGAGTCACAGAGCTGCCCAGCGACCTGTTGTAGTCTGGCCTCTCGGCCGTCACGATGGGTGGACCTGAAGCCAGACCAGAGGTCACAGTTGAGGTCACATAGCTGACTAAGGGGAGGTCTCTGAGTCTCGAAACCTCACAATGGATGGGCGTGAACTTACAAAGAACGACAGACTTCCGTTCAGTGGGAGGAGCTCTACGGAGAGCAACAGTTCGGCGTGATTTCAGTGAAGATGGCCGTGGACCGAAAAACCGTCACGATCAATATCGAACAATGCGGCGCAACAAGCACAAAGTCTGCGAGCAGCTTCGGCAGTATGTTTATAATGTTTATAATGTTTATAAAAGGCGTTGTGTTTCTAATGAAAATGCTAAATGATACTAGGGTTGTTAACATCCAGTCACCCTGATCTAGCATAGGCCAGGTAGCCGCTGTGTGTTAGTAGGGGCAAATAATGATTCGAGACGAACGACAAGGGACATGCAATTGAACATGAGCTACAAGTAACAGAAAGCCATGACCATGCATCAGCTATGACTATCTACTATACACTATGACCATAAACTATACGCCAGGACCATAAGCTATGCACTATGACCATCTACCATACAATGTGACCGATGCCCACCAGGCATGCACAATGACTGACAATAAAATGGGATGACAGATGTTAGTGTGACGCGACAGGTGCGGTGAAGGCACAGTGCAGCATGATAACGTGTGATAACGCACGGCTTATAATAATGTAGCGCGTGGTCTGGATGGGTGTGCCGTAGCCGTTATCCGCATAGCAGGTCACGTGGCTCATCTGCCGTGTGACGTTGGTCAACGACGTCACCAGGTGACGGGTGCGGTTCTGGCGGCATGATGGCATACGTGAGGCGACGCTTGCACGCACCAAACGGATGTCACATCGACACCAAACGGATGTCAAATCGACACCAAATGGATGTCATATCAACACCAAACAGATGTCACATCGACACCAAACGGATGTCACATCGACACTAAACGGATGTCACATCGACACCAAACGGATGTCACATCGACACTAAACGGATGTCACATCGACACCAAACGGATGTCACATCGACACTAAACGGATGTCACATCGACACCAAACGGATGTCACATCGACACTAAACGGATGTCACATCCACACCAAACGGATGTCACACCGACACTTGGGCCCTAAACAAATAGGACGAGATCGAGTGGCTGGCGCTTCAGGTGGTCTCCTGTGATAACGACTGACGTATAAGTGCCAGGTGCTGTGAAGATAATTGCTTAACTTTATCCCCCCGCATAGATGTGAGCCGAGAGCAGAGTTGGCATATAGCTTAAAACAAAGTATGTGAAGAAAATCAGTAAGTCAATAGATATCTGCGGATCAATGCGAGTCTTGGCTAGCATTACCAGCGATGGCGTCAGCACAGGGCTCAGCAGGGAATCGGAGACGGTCTTGGTCATTTACATGTGCAGCAGTAAACCACGACCACCAAAAAAACCCTGTCGCCATCATCGCCTGGCTCGACAGTAAACCGCGGTCGTGAGGCACCTCTGTCGCCGTCATCACCTGGTTTAGCAGCACGCCGTTGATGTAGAGCGCCACCGTGGGCTCAGGCGAGCCCATGGCGATGCAGAGGACCGTCATCGACCCTCCCTCCGTCACCATGTCCTGCGGGTGGATGGTCGGCAGCTGGAACAGCGGCCCACGTCCTCTTAGCGCACCGCGCAGCAGAACTGGAGCGCGGACCGGTGCACTGCGGTACACATGTATTCGCGGACGGCAGCACGGACCGGTGCACTGCGGTACATATGCACTCGCGGACTGCAGCACGGACCGATGCACTGCGGTACATATGCACTCGGGGACTGCGGTACATATGTACTCGTGGACTGGAGCGTGGGCCGGTGCACTGCGGTACGCATGTACTCGTGGACTGGAGCGTGGACCGGTGGGAGACACAGGGATGCGTAATCACACAGAGCTCCGTAATCGTCACCCCCGTGGAAGTGGTGCCCGCAGCCATGCGACTGACTGCAGCACGAGCGGCTGCCAGCACCGCCGGCGAGCGCGTCCGAAGCGCATCGTGCGTCGTGTGCGGCCATGCTGATTGCACAGAGCATGAACCAGGGACACTGCAGAAAGGACTTATGACATATGGAGATTTCTCCCAGAAGCACGTGTTCCAGAGGATGATGATGATGATGATGTTCCAGGTGTGATGGCCGGGATTGGCATGTGAATGGCCACGGGACGTCAATAAATGCCTGTTCGAAATGAAAGTAATAACATAACTGGTGAGTTATAAAGTTCAGACAAAATAAAGGTACCTGTACAGATTCCTCAGTTTTTCTTAACCTCGAGCCGCACAAGTGCAAACTTTAACGAGTTGGCAGGTCTACACAGCAATGGGCGAGCACGCGTCAAGAAGGTCGCAAGAGGTGACACGTGGGTTGGAAAAATCCATCGCCGCAGGAAGTCACCCCGCACAGAGCTTATCACGCGTGAAGGACATCCAACTCCCGGCGTGTGCCTGATGTCACAGCTTTCCATTCTGGCGGGGCCTCGATTGAGCCAACTCCAGCCGACCCTTGGTCATGATGAAGGTCTGAGGGTCTGCTGATCACCCTAGCGGTGGATGATAACACGTTCACCCCACTCAGAGCCGCAGGTCTCACCTCGACCTTGGCAGGGTAGACAGGCAAGGTCCCGTGCCCCAGGGCCTCCAATGGGTCTCAATTCCACGTAGGCAGGGTAGACGGGCAAGGTCCAGGCCTCCAGGGCCTTTAATAGGCCTCACCTCGAAGTAGGCAGAGTAGATGGGCAAGGTCCAGGCCTCCAGGGCCTTCAATGGGCCTCACCTCAACGTAGGCGGGGTAGACTGGCAAGGTCCAGGCCTCCAGGGCCTTCAGTGGGCCTCACCTCGACGTAGGCAGCGCAGACGGGCGAGGTCCAGGCCTCCAGGGCCTTCAGTGGGCCTCACCTCAACGTAGACGGGGTAGACGGGCAAGGTCCAGGCCTCCAGGGCCTTCAATGGGCCTCACCTCGACGTAGGCGGGGTAGACAGGCAAGGTCCCGCGCTCTAAGGCCCTTAATAGGTCTCACCTCGACGTAGGCAGGGTAGACGGGCAAGGTCCCGCGCTCTAAGGCCCTTAATAGGTCTCACCTCGACGTAGGCGGGGTAGACGGGCAAGGTCCAGGCCTCCAGCGTCTCCGATGGCTCGCTCTCGCCCGCCGCATCCACGGCTGTCACGACCACACTGAAACAGGCCAGAGCAGGTGAAGGCACAGTCAGGACAGGCTCGTGGCCGAGGAGGCTCTGGAGGGAGACGTCGTACAGACCTATAGAAGGCAGGCTGTGACCATCCTCATTGTCATCACAAAGAAACGACTGATCCTCATTAGCCTGAAAATGGGTCACGACCTACTTGTGATTTCCCTTAGACGCGCTGACAAATGTTTAGCTTATGACAAATTACAAGCCAGGAGGTCGTATCTTGCTACCTTTGGCGCTGCATTTTTCGTCAGTTTGCACACTTGCGAACCTACGCGTAGTAGGTGATCGTCGCTGACCTGTAGGCAGTGTTGGGCACCAGCTCCAGCAGGCGATGGCTGACGCTCACTGTAGTGATGTTCTCAGGTTCTGTGGCGTTTTCTCCACGGAACGACACCCTGCGCATCGAGCAATGTACTGCTAAGAACATTGAATTGCAATGGAATCCGGCACAGTGACTATAACGCGCCTAGCCAACCAGCGCGCGGTAGCTTGTTCCGTGCACATTGACGCACATCTATATCAGCCGGTTCGTCCCGCGTTTCCTCCGTCAATGCAAGTTGGTCTGACGTCGCCGCGACGCCCACTGTCCGTGATCTGGATCCGTTTCCAGCACGCTTTCCTCAGCTCTTCTGATAGTGAAAATGCTCTAAGCTTTCCATGATGGGAAGGATGGGAAGGTGTAGTGGTGGTGATGTTGGGTACGTGGAGTCGTGTGTCGATTTCCCTTTTGCGGAGCGGCCAGCGTCCGCGTTGACTATATCAGACTTCAAGGGGCATAACATAACCAGGGTTCGAAACGGGGCCCCTAACGTCGGGATCTACGGGGCTTACGAAGGTAAGCGAGGTTGTGATTGGTTAGAGCAGACCAGCGGCGGTGTGATATGGTAGAGCAGACCAGCGGCGGTGTGATATGGTAGAGCAGACCAGCGGCGGTGTGATAGGGTAGAACAGAACAGGAGCGGTGTGATAGGGTGGAGCAAACCAGGGGCGGTGTGGTCAGCTAGAACAGGTCAGTGGCGGTGTGAATGGCCAAAGCAGGCTGGCATAAATACATGGTTTTTACGAACCGAGAAGGATGGTTGGGGATTCTTAAGCCAATAAGAATGTGCATGGGACAAGTTCACATTATTTTCCGAAGACGTTCGTAAGCCGCATAATGGTCTACACATGCTAGAGCCAATAATTAACCCTCGCCCATATGGGGGGGGGGGGGGGGGGGGCAGTGCGGCCCCCGAATGTCTTCTCTTCAGCATGTCGTGCAATTTCGTCCAAATATTTCGTCCAAATATTTAATTTCGCCTCTGGGCATCCATTGCGCGTGTTTCACCGCCAAAAACAAATCCCTGGTGTTTCTGGTTTCGGAGCTGTGGAGGTTTTTGAGGAACGGTACATGGCGACCGGCGGCTGGCTCGGGCGGCAGCCGCCGGTGCCGCGGACCGAGCGGTGGGCCGGCGCTGGTGCAGCGCAGCCCTACGTAATGGCTCGGACATATGACTACGTCGAACTGAAACAAATAATATTTTCAGAGTTACCAAGCACCATAAAATATTTCACCAGGTTTGGTCATCTTGTAGATGTAGCCCACTAGCCTGTTCTGACTTATCACACGGTCGCTAACCTTTCCTAACCCATCACACTATCGCTAACCTGTTCTAACCCACCACACCATCGCTAATCCGTTCAAACCCATCACATCATCACCAACATGCTCTAACCCATTACACCATCGTCAGAAACACTGCAGCATGTGGCAACGCCGACCGACAGAGACCGGTGGCTTCATCTGAGACGAAGCTGGTCCCGAGCGGCTCAGTGTGACTGACAAAGGCCCACAGAGGCTGTGGCTGACATGAAGTTCTTTGTGGGTAGATGGGTTTGAATTTCCTCGCGGCCTTCGTGTCCCACGTGACCTTCATACAAAATATGGCGGTGCAATGGAACCGCAATCTTTCTGTGCTATCTGGGTTTAAACACACGGGACCCGCGAAGTCAAAAGGCTTATGCCATTCTTCTGACACGGAACGAACCGGTAGCGTATTCTGCTGTCAGGAGGCGCGATGGCCGGGGGCACCCAGGTCAGGGTCATCTCGGTGGCGGTGACGTCAGAGGCGCTCAGACTGTGCGGCGGCGAGATGGCAGCCTTCACCTCACCGGAGACCTCTGCCGGGCGACAGACAGACGCGACCGTGGCTACCACGGCTTCCCACTGAGGCAAAACACACGGGCATGGAAACAGGCCGCTTCGTTCTGAGTACCTACTAAATCGAAATGTTCTGATCTGCTTCTGAGGTCCTGAACGGTGTCAGCGAGATATGATCATACCATATGGCACGAGTACATAACAAATGTGAAACGCCATGTAAGAGATAGCAAGCCAGGAAATGGTTCAGCGATGTGGAACATCAAATCAAACACATGCCGTCGAAAATATGCGAACATATATTTAAAATAAATAGGTTAACAGCGAATGCTGTTGGTTACTCTCGTGGACAGGATCACACCCGCTGCTTGTTTCACGTCTGCGGCTCAAAGAGAGGCCAGACGGACGATCCTTGCAGGCGTCACCGTCAACACGACGTAACCGGGGAGAGGGGGGGGGGGGGGGGGCACCCAGCGTAAGCAAGGCGGAACTAGGGGAGGGACGGCTGAAAATGGCGAAAATGTGTAACGCAAATTATTGACGGCATTTTGGCGCAAGCACCTTGTTCCTGTGACAGGAAATGCCATAAAAGACGACTGAACGGCGCCATCCCGGCATGCAGACGCCGAAACATAACCTCATTATTTGCAACAACGCCACCGGTTTGGGCGTCGCTGACGGAAGGCGGGGCTGGTGTGGGGGGGGGGGGGGGGGGTGAGGGGGTACCACTGACCGCCGCCGCCGATGTTAAGGGTGACCACGGACACGGGCAGGGAGCTGCCGTGTTCGTTCACGGCCACCACGCTGAAGGCGTACAGCTGGTCCTTGGTCAGGTTGGTCAAGCGCGCCACGCCGGTGGTGACGGTCTGCACCTGGAGGGGTGACACAGGTTCGTCAGTCTGTCGGAAGCGTCTTCAGCTGCGGGAAGACGCGCTGGGTTGGGCCGAGACGACGTGTCTGCTTGCCATCTTGCAGTCCTGTCAGGAAGCTCCCGTTTACGGGGCGTGTGGTGCCTGAGGGTATCGTTTAGTGTTTGAGGATAGGCCACAGGCATCGTTTTCTCGACACTCTGCATCTACTGGGTCCGTCAACGATCGTCCACTTGATGAGTCATTCATCACCTGCTGCGTTTCAATATTTGACTTTGTTTACTGTTATCTGTAACAATAACGATTTTCCTCTTGCATGACTGAAGTATAACTCTGGTAAGTCAGTAGAAGAAGCTCTGTTAAGAACAATGCCGAATTGCCTCAGCAAACAATGTGCCCAAATGTGATGTCCAACCAGCTGACCTGGTCCAGTTTAGTGACGTCACCTCCAAGACCAGTGGTGGCATTAATGCTGCCGTACCGAACCTGCGAACGGGGGGCACTGTCAGACGTGTCCGAACACGGACATGACGTTCCCGCACAGGCTAGTAGTTGGACATGACGGTCCCGCAAGGACTGGTAGTTGGACATGACGGTCCTGCAAGGCTGGCAGCTAGGCATGACGGCCCTGCAAGGCAGGTAGCTGGGCATGCCGGTCCTGCGAGGCTGGCAGTTGGACAGCGTGCTTGTCAAAGTCACTTGAGACGCTGCCAGCGACTGCTATCACATTTGCCGGCTATCTCTCTTCGATAACAACTATCTGGCACTAAGCAACAAGAGCATGTATAAACACGTCCTTCCAATGTAAGCAGCACTTCCGCCCGATCTTGAATCCAAGTTAAAATTGCCGTCGACGGCAGGAAAAGGACAATGACCGCTGACAACCGACGGTTTTCGGCTTTTTATCCGTTGCCAGGCGGCTGAAAGTTGCTGCATTTTACAGCATCACTCCGTACCTGGAACTGGCCACCGTTTCCGTCCGCCTCCCAGACCAGCGTGACCGCGTCATCGGTGACGTCACTAGCGCGCAGTCCAATCACAGGGGGCGGCAGAGTGCCGGCGCCCTCTTCGAAGCACTGGACCGTGTTGCCGAGGTATGGAGCGCACTCGGAGACGGGCGCAGCCTGTCCGCGGCAGGGCCCCAGACAGGCGGCTGGAACACCGCGCCGGTGGCAGCAGGCAACGTGGTCCCGACCGGCGGCGGCGCAGCGCACCAGCTGAGGGCAAGCGGCATCAGGGGTTCGGTGGTGGCGTCGGTGGCAGCGCACCAGCTGAGGGCAAGCGGCAGCAGGGGTTCGGTGGTGGCGTCGGTGGCAGCGCACCAGCTGAGGGCAAGCGGCATCAGGCGGTCGGTGGTGGCGGTGATGGCAGCTGGTGTGCATGCAGCCATGCAACAGGTGCGGGAAAGGGCAGCATAATTTGCTTAAGGGGTGGGGGAGAAGGTCAGTGAGAACGTATTACGCTGCCATTAGTCTCCGTCCGGAGGGGGTGGAGGGGAGGGGGTGCCCTCTGGCTGCACCTGGGCGTGCAGTTGTGTCATGCAGGCAAACGTTTGTAAATGGTGTCAGCCGGTGAAAAGGAGAGCAAAGAGCACGAGGTGCTGCACAAAATGTCATTAGGGTATTGGTAACGTGCGAGCAGATATGTCAACAGCGGATCAAAGGTGTCAGCAGCGAATACAGTCCGTAAAAAGTATGCAATTTTGAGCAGGGAAATAAACAGAGGCATCGTCTGAATGACAGTTATCAGTCACGTGGCATGTCACGTGCCTTCGTGGGATCAGATGAGATCCCTCGGGATCAGATGAGATCGCTCTGGATCACATGCGATCACTTGGGATCAGAACACCGCCAGGAACGCTGCACTATCGTAAGGTCGGCGGCGCGCGCCAGCGCTCATCAGAAGTGAAGCAATAACACAATGGGGACCGACGGTTTTCGTTTTTGTTTTGTTATAAATACGTCTGGAGCGTAACAAATGACAGAGGAGCAAGGTGGTAAGTCAGCCAACGCCGAGACCAACATTTGAAAATAAGAAGTGTCGAACGGCATCTTAGTAAGCCCACCCGGTGCACTGTATGCGAAAGCTCGCTCGGACCCGACCCAGCATCGTAACGGCAGTCAACAAATCCACGTTGGTCTTGTGCTATCATCCGAACCTAGGTTAGTATCAGAAAAACCAGCGACCTGCGCTGACCAGGTGACCTTTACTGACCAGGTGAGACGCTGTAGCATTGAGTCGCCTGAAAGACACCAGCGACCCAGACAAGACCAGCGACCCAGACAGTTTGACACTGTTAGCAGCACCGAGTGTTCTAGTCGCACTCAGCCTGGAATACATTCATGCAATGTTGTAACCACATTTATACACATAGTCCGCAGCATCCTCACTGGAAACCTGAACTAATATTCTGCTTTCCTTCTGACCAGCGAGCACGTTCCCTCCCCCTTGCCGCCTCCAGGTCAAAGCCTGACGTTTACTGGCTTTGTGTTGTCCAGAGCGCCCACATCAGCCCTGGCCCACCAGCAGCCTTCGCTAACCGCGTGTCGACCTCCGGAGCTGTTCCCTAGTGACCTTGTCCAGCTCGGAGAGACAGACGGCGGTCAGACGCCGGACGGTTGTCATGTTGACCCCGAGGTCACAGAGGGTCAGGCAGGTGCCGCTGACCCCGGCGCGGCGGCAGCAGCCGTTGAGGTCAGCCACCTGACCCGCCTGCGCTTCCGCCTCGGCAGCCAGCACCGCCGCCGGCAGGGTCTGCGGCAAGTTCAGCGGCGTAAGGTCAGGTGGCGGAGCAACAGCGGAAGACAGGACAACTGTGGGAGAGGATGCGGAAGTGTCGGCGGAGGTAATCATAAAATGGAGGGAGGGAAGGAATCAGATCCCATGTATCTTAAGCTACACAGATGTGAATAGGGAAATGATCTAAAGCTAGGATTACAGCTGCTCAAGCCGCTTCCACGGCTGCAGACCTACCAAAAACCGCGCCGGCAACATCCATCACCCCAAGCAAAACAGAAACTATTCCCACCACGCCACCACCAGCATCATCTTATCATCATCATCACCATACTTCTATGACGTGTAGAACCAGTTCAACTCCAAACAAAGCCCGGCCGCCAGACGTCCGCGCTGTACGCCCGCCACCTGCGGCCTCGCACCTGGAACAGCACTCGGGAGCTCTCGGCGCCGAGGCCGTGCTCGTTGTTGGCCAGCACGTAGAACTCGTACGAGGAGCCGGGCGTCAGGCCGTCCAGCAGGTGCGGTGGGTGAGCTCCAGTCGCGGACGAGTAGGCGGCGTCGTCGGCGCCCGCCGGCCGCACGCGGACCGTGTAGCTGCGGCGACAGAGGCAGCCACGCGTGGAACAGCGGGACACAGTGCTACCAGCGGGGGAGGGGGGAGGGAATCGAACGCAGACAGAGACCCGTCGCTGTCGCAGCTGAAGTGGAGTGGCATCCCTAACCTAACCCGCATACCTGTGTTTCAGCAGTCGTGATGCCAGATCACCTTGTGTTTCAGCGATCGCGATGCCAGATCACCCTGTGTTTCAGCGGTTGTGATGCCAGATCGCCCTGTGTTTCAGCGGTCGCGATGCCAGATCACCCTGTGTATCAGCGGTCGCGATGCCAGATCACCCTGTGTTTCAGCGGTCGTGATGCCAGATCGCTCTGTGTTTCAGCGGTCGCGATGGCAGATCACTGGCTGTTTTTTCTCACAAAATCCTTCGAGCTTGCGAGCTTTCTCACCTGACGCCTTTTCTGTATTCCTACCAAACAAGAACTCGCCATCCACGCTCCTTCTTTCCTGCCACGAAGTTCGTTTCGGGGCACTGAGATCTCAAGAAATGCATACAGAAACTTTAAATGCATTGAATATTTGTACCTTTCTCTGCTCCCCTTCTTCCGTTTTCTTCCTAGCTTTCATGTGTAATGCACTTTGTGTCCGTCCGACACCAGAGCGCCTGCCTGACAGTCCCCCCCCCCCCCCCACCCGTGGCGGATGAGGTCGAGTCGCTATTTGTATAGATTCACCCTGTTTACCCTGACTGGGATGGCCTGCAGGCGATGGCAGCACCCGCGCTAAAGGTCGGATGTCGTCATGGAGCACGGTGGACCACATCCAACAGCATGGACGTTTGGCACAAAATTATGCCGTTGGCATGAAATTACACAATCGGGTGGTAGGGGCCAGCGCCGACACAACAAGCAATGCTTAGCGCGAGCTTTGACCCCAGAAGCGCATTCAAATAACCAAATGAAAACTTCACAGGTCATGAAGACGAGAAAACATTTGGACACAGCTGAACCTCCTGTAAAACGGGTCACTCAGGCCGTGCCACCTGGCCTTCCTGAAACTGAAACGCTGACCTCTGAGTTTCACTGATGGACTATCATCAGTAATCTTATAAGATACGGCCAATGGAAAAGTCATTTTCAACGTCTAACCATGCAACCCTTAAATGAGCAAGTTATGGAGATCACTTGGTGACCTAATTCGCCCTAACTGGTCTGACTTTCTAGTTCCACGCCTCATAACATATCTCAAAGGAAATTTTCTACATTTGCATGGGCTTTTGAACTGAAATAGCCAGCTTGAAGACCTTTCGGCGCTGTTCACAACCCTGCCCTTCTATGACCTAAGCCCAGCTAGTTTCTGAACTACGCGCCCGCAAACTTGGGGAAAGGTATATCGGGGAGAGTATTTCAAAGTCACCTTGACATTTATGACGTCATAATAGCGTCATTAAAATGCCTTTGTTTCACAAACTATGCGACGATCAAGGCCAACACAAATACAATTGTCGAGGTGTAGATATCTGGTGTTCGTAAGCGCGATTTCCTGATAAAACGGCCGTCAACTCACTCTCGATCAATGTTGTGCAAGGCACAATGATGTAATAAAACCATGATGTATTCAGAGGCATATCTACTAAGCAGATAATTGTGTTTCCTAGAGCAGTACTTTCCGCTATAAATGTATACCAATAGTCATTTCTAAACAACCATTTTTATACTTGTTATACGTGAGCAGGTTTCATCATATCTTATGCCTGTCGCAAGATCTCCAAACGTGAAACATTCCCCTTGAACGTTTCTCGTTGGTTTATCATCGCACCATAATACAACACGAGTCATCTGATACCGAGTAGACTCAGACGATTCAAAGACTCACTCAAGAACGAGACCGCCGTTGCTTTGCCGGCCTGGCCGTTGCTGTGTAGAGAAGGTGCTGGTGAAAGTGAAATGCTGGAAATATAAGCCGCTAGTTTTCTTCGAAGTCTAGCAACCGCTTGTCACGTGAGCGGGTCCTATGACCAGTTTGCCACGCTAGGCAGGTGTAAATGTAACGCAGATTATTGCATTGCCACGTGGATTAGCAAATACCTAGCTGAAAGTCATCTGCATTTAACTATTGTTGCGTGATGTGGACATTGTGTGGCGTGGGTGTTGGTGAATGTGGAATGAAGGAAATGGAAGCTTCTGACAAAGAACACTGGTTTGTTGATTGACTTGCCAGAAGGACCGGCACAACATGCGTCTGTCACGCCAGGCAAGTCTAAAGTTGTTACAACTTCTCTCCCTCTCTCCTCTCCCTCTCTCCCTCTCTCCCTCTCTCCCTCTCCTCTCCCTCTCCTCTCCCTCTCCCTCTCTCCCTCTCTCCTCTCTCCCTCTCCCCTCTCCCTCTCCCTCTCTCCCCTCTCTCTCTCCTCTCCTCTCCTCCCTCTCTCCCTCTCCTCTCTCCTCTCCTCTCTCTCTTCTCTCTCTCTCTCTCTCTCTCTCTCTCTCTCTCTCCTCTCTCTCTCTCTCCTCTCTCTCTCTCTCTCTCTCTCTCCTCTCTCTCTCTCTCTCTCTCTCTCTCTCTCTCTCTCTCTCTCTCTCTCTCTCTCTCTCTCTGGCTCTAGCTCTAGCTATAGTTCTAGCTCTATCCTTCTCCGTTTTGGCCTTTGATTTCTCCCCGCCATTTCCCACCAGCCTCTCTCACCTTCTTAGACTCCCGCTCCCTCTTACTCTTTTCCTTTCTTTCCCTCTCTCTTTTCCCCCTCTTTCCCACTCACGTCCTTCTCTGCTTCTATCGCTGCCTCCTCTCCACTTGTCCCTCTGGCCTCACCTGGTCACTGTGTCTGCCAGAGTGCTGGGCGGGTCCCAGCGTAGCACAGCGAACTCTGAGTCGGTGAGGGCCACCAGGGGACTGAGAGGGGCCGACGGCACCACGCCGTACCCCTGCATCAGGCACGAGGCGAAGCTATCCATGTAGTGCACACACCTGCCGACACCGTGACACCGTGACACACGTGCCACACGTGACACATGCGACACTTGGACACCGTGACACCATGACACCGTCACATACATGTGCGTGCCACACGTGACATAGTGACACAGAGACACAATGACAAGTGACACGTGGCACAGTGACAAGTGACACAATGGCGCATGATGGTGCATGATGCCACGCGATAATGCCATTGTAATGGAGCGGTGCAGGAAACTTACGGCATCTGATTGGCCTCCATGGCGTAGGTCGGATATACTGCTGGAAACCCAACAGTGTACGCCAATGAGCCTGCACCAAACACATTGCACGCTTAACATCTGCCAAGCCCACCAGCGCAGATGGGTGCACGCGGAACACCGCACGTAGTGTAACACAGAGCACACGTTCACGGTAAGCTAGCGTCAGCATGATAACATTTGACGCAGTAACTGTTGGTCAACATCATCAAACATCATCACGTCAAATGGCAGGGAGCTGAGCCGTTCACAGCCGGGAAATCGTCGATTCCTTTTATTTTTAGAGGGAGCCCAGCGCACGTCCTAACGTCCTTTTGTGGGCCGCCAGCGACTGCATCATCCATATTAACGTCCATGGGTCCATGGGTGCAACCGGCATTCCCACCGCTCGCCAGCCACGCAGCCGCTCACCGCTCGCCAGCCACGCGGCCGCTCACCGCTCGCCAGCCACGCAGCCGCTCACCACTCGCCAGCCACGCAGCAGGGCCACGAATAGCCAAGTGATTCTAGATATTATGTGACACACAGACACACAAAATATAACAGCGGCTATTGGTATCAATTTTGAAGGGGGGGGGGGAACAGATCGCATCACCTCCTTTTCGTGGATGGACAGCGGCCGCCGGTACCCTGTAAGTGCCTCTCCCCCGGACGGTCATCGGACCGGGGCCCTGCACGCTTGAGGCCTGCGCCTCTTTCAGGAAAGCTGCTATGTCCTTGTTTGTCGGAGCCTCCAATCACTGCGCACACTCTCACTGCCGCCCGAGTGTAGCAACCTTTGGGTCGTAGTAGAGCGTTTTTATTGTTTACAGATGTTAAAATGTCCCGTCTTTATTCGTACTGCAGGCCGCCCGAGGCCTCGTATCCTCCGGACATGCAGAGAACTCTACTACTCCACAGCTATGTCATGTCACGCACGTTAACACCAGAGAACTGTTTGACTCCCAGGACGGCAGGAGCTCGTGCCCTATGTTTGACTCTCAGGCGGGAGCAGCTCGTGCCCTATGTTTGACTCCCAGGGCGGCAGGATCTCGTGCCCTATGTTTTGCTCTCAGGCGGGAGGAGCTCGTGCCTTTTGTTTGAGCCACCTGGGTGGTGTAGTTTTTATCCACGCTTTGCTTAACAAACCCTGAAGTCCTACTTCAAGCCAACAAACCTCGCAGCCGCGCGCAAATCCGTGGTACGCAACATTACGACCGAGGACAGCGTGATGCGACCGAGGACAGCGTGGGGCTGCTGAGGACAGCGTGTTACGGCTGGGAACAGCGTGGGGCTGCCGAGGACAGCGTGTTACGGCCGATGACAGCGTGTTACGGCCGAGGACAGCGTGTTACGGCCGAGGACAGCGTGTTACGGCCGAGAACAGCGTGGGGCTGCCGAGGACAGCATGCTACGGCCGAGGACAGCGTGTTACGGCCGAGGACAGCGTGGGGCTGCCGAGGACAGCGTGTTACGGCCGAGGACAGCGTGTTACGGCCGAGGACAGCGTGGGGCTGCCGAGGACAGTGTGTTACGACCGAGGACAGCGTGTTACGACCGAGGACAGCGTGTTACGGCCGAGGACAGCGTGTTACGGCCGGGGACAGCGTGTTACGGCCGGGGACAGCGTGTTACGACCGAGGACAGCGTGTTACGGCCGAGGACAGCGTGGGGCTGCCGAGGACAGCGTGTTACGACCGATGACAGCGTGTTACGGCCGAGGACAGCGTGGGGCTGCCGAGGACAGCGTGTTACGACCGAGGACAGCGTGTTACGGCCGAGGACAGCGTGTTACGGCCGAGGACAACGTGGGGCTGCCGAGGACAGCGTGTTACGACCGAGGACAGCGTGTTACGGCCGAGGACAGCGTGGGGCTGCCGAGGACAGTGTGTTACGACCGAGGACAGCGTGTTTCGACCGAGGACAGCGTGTTACGGCCGAGGACAGCGTGGGGCTGCCGAGGACAGCGTGTTACGGCCGAGGACAGCGTGTTACGACCGAGGACAGCGTGTTACGACCGAGGGCAGCGTGTTACGACCGAGGACAGCGTGTTACGGCCGAGGACAGCGTGTTACTGCCGAGGACAGCGTGTTACGGCCGAGGACAGCGTGTTACGACCGAGGACAGCGTGTTACGACCGAGGGCAGCGTGTTACGACCGAGGACAGCGTGTTACGACCGAGGACAGCGTGTTACGACCGAGGACAGCGTGTTACGGCCGAGGACAGCGTGTTACGGCCGAGGACAGCGTGTTACGACCGAGGACAGCGTGTTACTGCCGAGGACAGCGTGTTACTGCCGAGGGCAGCGTGGGGCGGCCCTTCGAAGCGCAGGGTACGATCGCCCCCTTCCCCGCCCGTTACTGTGGCTCCAAAGGGCGCCGCTCTCGCCTGGTGGTCCTCACTTGAAGTGCCGGTAGTCGAGCTGGGTCACCGAACCGGTACACAGGGGCATGCAGGCGGGGGGTAGGCCGCGCGCGCGGCAGCAGTCGCCCTGGTCACGGCCGTTCGCCAGGCAGGAGAAGGTGGCGCCCGTCCAGGGGGAGCACACGATCATGTCCGTGACGACGATGTCGGCGGTGCGGGCCGGGTCACACAGCTTCTGCAGACACCTGTCGGTGTACAGGAAGCCAGGTCACTGACGACAGTGTCGGCGCCGCGGGCCGGGTCACATAGCTTCTGCAGACACCTGTCGGTGCACAGGAAGTGAGGTCACTGACGATAGTGTCGGCGGCGCGGGTCGGGTCACACAGCTTCCGCAGACACCTGTCGGTGCACAGGAAGTCAGGCGCTTGAGACGCGGGGTGTCGAAACGCCTGAGGTCACTGGTCAGTCCAAGCCTGGCGACATCGGGTGTGACCTGACCCCGCCTAGAGGTCATCCAAATCTGAATTCGTAGGAAGACGCACACTACGTGACTGTGAATAGTCTCGGTCACCATCTTACGAGACACATGGGATCAACAAGTTATAACACACTTGAGGCGCGGGTCTCCCGGCACCCGCGGACAAGTCATGATAACGACGTGTCTCTGACACCTAAACGGCACCGGAGCCCAACCCGCAGGGGGTCACGTGACCCGTGCCCACTTGTGGGCCCGGGTCACCAACATTCCTGAGACACCGGGCCAGCGGACACTTTGGACACGCCAAGACCTCAATCCCGAGACAAGTGTGTTGGTGGCGGCCGGACGCCAGGACACGATAGCGTAAGACATTTGGAAGCATGGGACATCAGACGGATATTAGACTCATGCTATTATGGTATCTAAATACACGTTGTTTGCCCGACGAAAAGCGGCTATCGATAATAGAATGCTCGTCTCAAATTGAGCCTGTCAAGGTAAGTCGAACACCTCGAGACTTTTGAGGGGATGCTACGCAACAAAGGAAAATGCCTATGTCCGCTTGACAAGTTGCCGACCGGCTAGAAGTCTAACGCTGTTAGGTATACGCCGCCGAAGGCATTGATTCTTTTTCAAGCTGAAATTGAATGTTTCACATTTGAAAATATTAAGGCAAGCATCACATACGACGAATTGCACTTGACAACGCAATTTCTCTGTTTATTAAAAATGTTCCTCAATGCGTCACTGTTCCTTGTACAACATTGATTAGGAGCCAGTTGACGGCCGCTATTTCTTGAAATTGCGCTCGCAAACGCCAGATACGAACGACTCGACCATTGCATTTTTGTTGGCCTTGATCGCTGCAGAATTGTGGAAAGGTAGGATTTGAGCGAAAGGTAGATTTGAGGTTATCATGAGCTAGCAAATGCCAACATGATATTGACATACTATCCCCGTAATAGTATTCCCATCTTCGTGGGCGTGTAGCCCCCCCAAAAAACTGGAAGGGTTTAGGTCTTAGAAAGGTACGGCTGTGGACTGCACCGAATGATATCTTAATCGGCTAATTTAGTTTCCAGCCAATTATAATAAGGAGCTTTGCCTTTAAGCTGTAATTTCAATTTAAATGGAGTGTTCCACATTTCCATGTGGTTTCAAGCTGAAATAGCAATCTTGGAGATCGTTTGGTGCTGTTCGCAATTCTGGCCTTCTTATAAACCACTCTTGTTTCTGAGCTACACTCCCCGAAGATAGCGAGATTATGTTGGGGATAGCATTTCAAGGTCACCTTTGCATGTAAGACGTCATTCAAATCATGTCATTCCATGAGTCATGCGGCAATCAAGGACAACATAAATCTAATGGTCGAGTCGTTCATGTCTGTTGTCCGTGGCAATGGATGACGGCCTTCAACTGTCACCCAATCAATGTCGTGCAAGGTACAGTGACGTAGTCAAACAGTGACGTACCAACGCGCGCATTTACTAAATAGCGAACTTGTGCTGTCTAGAGCAGGCTTTTCTACTTAAAAGTTTACGAATAGCTATAAGCAAGCTTGTTTCACCATATCTGTTGCTCGCTTCAAAATTTTCAGCTTTGAAATATTCCCTTTAAATAAGATGATATTTGAAACGACCAGCACTAGACTGAGGCTCTAAACTGATGCCCAGATGTTGTATTGGCACTGCCACCAGCGCTCCACGGGTAGCCGTGTCCCAGACGCCGGGCATGCAGGGCTGCGAGAGCAACCGGGCATGCAGCTCAACAGACACACGCGGCCAGCATGAATTCCACCCCACATGGCACAGCGCTGACGAGGATGATGATTTGGAATTTAGGGCGCGCCGACCACCCTGCTCATTTGGCGCCCATGGCAAGGAACTGCCAGAAATCCACTGCGAAGTCGGCCGTCTTCGCTCAGTTCTACCAGCTCTCTGGGCTGACTCCAGACTAACCTCGGCTCTCTGACGCCGGCCTCCTGGCAGCACTGTTTGACCTCTGGCAGTGCCGGCGGTGCCCCGACCCCGGCACGGCTCTCCGGCAGCCAAGTGACCGCCCGCACCCGGTCGGAGGGCAGGCTGCCCCCGTGGTCGTTGTATGCGGTCACCGAGACTTGGTACATGGTGAGAGGCCGCAGTCCTGACACCAGCAGCGAGCGGCGGGACCCACTGACCTGCGGTGGCGGGGTCACCGGTCAGCAGGGGTGACCTCTCTGACAGGGGTCGGATGGGTCAGCGCGGAGGAGATGGCCCCTTGTACAGAGGTGAAAGGAGTCAGAATGGAGGAGATGACCGATCGGATAGGGTCAGATGGGTCAGCAGGGGAATCACCGGGTAACAAGGTCAGCGTGTGACTGTTGTGGCGGAGAGGTCACCCAAAGGCGGTAAGAATCAATTCGGTCTTAGTCTCGATGTACGGTTGCATTAGTCCGTGCGTTCCTTGCGCGCGAAAAGCCAGCCTGGTCAACAAAACGCAAACGCATTACAGAAAAAAGCATTACACATCACATAGACAACTAGAGACCATGTTTTGCTCATTGATAAAACCTGCTTAGCAAATCACGAAATGCTGCAAAATACTCCACTTGCCACAAATGCAAGCATTCCGCAGCTAGCGTACACCTTGGCAATCTATAACCATTATAGAATGCATATTCTAGCAAACACATGCGGTGTACTGGCGTAGCAAAACCCTCGTAAGTCGCAAGCATGCGCCAACAAATAGCGGCAGCAGAACTGTACGACGGAGCAAGCAATGGAGAGAACTGTAGACGCATCGCCGACAGTTTCCGCCACCTACTCACGTTATAGAGCTGAGTCAGGTCATCACTCGCGTCCTCCTGTGACATCAGAGAGACATCTTGTGACGTCAGCGCGACCTCTTGTGACGTCACCACCTGCGAGCCATTTCCCTTCCGAAGCCCCAGACGTTCGCCATCGAAGGTGCGCAGACGGGTCACGCGCACGGCGAACCAATCAGCGGCCGGCGCGATGACGCCACCACGCCCGCTGATCCAGCTGACGCGCAAAGAAGTCAGCGAGCGAGCTGTGACCTCCAGCCGGTCCGGCGACGTCGGCAGTGTCTCTGGGTCACACAGCGGCAAAGGTCACGGGGAGACTGACCCCGAGACTTTCCTGGGCGCCGACAGCTCACTGGGTCACAACAGTCACGGGAAAAATATGATCTTGAGATAGCCTGAGGCAATGGCGTTTTGGGTAACCCGGGGTCTGGGAGTCACGGAGAAGTGGCGTCAAGAATGCCTTGGTCGGCATCAACGCACTGGAAAACGCAGGACTCAATGGTGAGGGTGGACAGCCTGCCACCGAATGGATCTGAGGAACTGTTCATGGCGATGATGACACGTGAGGCTTTCATTACACAAATATCAAAGGTCAGGTGTCGGAAATGGCTATAAGGCGGCTCGTGTGAAGTCGCTGAAAGTTTCTAGACACTAAACAATGCGCAGTACAGGGATGATGGACCAACGACTGTGCGACGGCAAAAAAATCAAAACATCCTGTTAGAACCAAGTACGAGCTATATTCTAGCGCGCATAAGCGCAAACACCTACAATAGCTTCGCATTTCAGCCTGTAGCGTGTCCTTTGAAATACAGTAGTAGATCTGTTCATGCATCACAACTTGGAAGGATCCGACAAAAAGACACCAGAACGTGTGAAGAGACATGTTTACGCATGTGACAGCAAATGTCCATGCAAACAGTGTGTTCCTCCAGCCGCCGGTGGGGCTCATTTTATTTAAGGATTTTTCGTTCGCCTTCCAGACAGGGTCCCACTAACCTAAGGTGATATCAGAAGTCACCTGCCATATGGACACCTCATCTCATATGCAGATGACACTCAACTCCTGGACCACGCTCCTCGAAACAAGCCGAATCTCGAAGCTAAAAGAGTGTAATGCGTTGTCTGGAAATATCAATTTGCGACCTAGAGGCTCGGTTCAGCGCAAACTCATTGAAAACGAATAAGGACAAAACCGACTTTTGCTCGGATAGGTTGAAACTATATTGTAAAAAACCTGTCATTTTCACTTTACGATGGATGGAGAAGCTATCGAACCTTCACGGAGCATCAAACTTATCTGCGTGATCGTAGACTGGATGTTTTCGTGGGAGAAGCAGGACGCCAAAGTCTTGCAAAAATGCGACGGAATTATAATATCGCTGTACCGCCTCAGGTTTAAGTTTATACTTGATGTTCTCCAACTTATTATCGAAGCCTACGTTTTTCCACATATGTGTTACCGTCCTTGCTTGTGGCATGGGACGATCAAGTGTCGGTGCAGCGCGTTACAAAAGTTAAAGATTTTGCCGCCAAGTCTGTCTCTGGCATAAAACGCAGCCAGCACACAACACAGACTTTGGAATATGTAGGCTGGCCCCGGATTAATGATTTTGGGAACGAGAGGGACGTGCAGAAAGTATGCAAAGCTCTAAGCTGTAAAGAATCACCTCCAGCTGTCCAATCTCTGTTTACGCTACGTTCCCCTTTTTTCGCTAAGGGAGACGCGCTCCTCCATGCCAACGTCTCTCCACTCGCCCAGGTGCCCATTGGAGGCCACCAAGCGAGCCTTTAATGATCTTACAGCGGCACCTTGAAACCGGCTGTCTCCGACCACCACCAGGTCTTCATCTCTAACTTTTGAGCGAATAAAAAACCCGCATTTCAAAATGCAGATGTTTAGGTCATGCACGTCAGTGTTAAACCCCTGCTAGGTACCTGTATGATTGTATGTCATATTTATGCACGAGTGTGATATTTGCAAGTCAATGCAAACTCCATATGCTTACAATTTATATGCATTTCATCATTGGGAGTGTACGCTGGGCTTAGCACATTCTATTGCTAAGTTAGATCATCCATTTTTTTTTACTTCGTACGTACCCCATAGCTTCGACGTCTCTTATCGTCATATACAGCTGCGGAAAAGCGCTGCCATCTTCTAGCCTGCATCATATCATATTTATTGCACGTTAGTTTATCGTATCGTATTTCATAGCCTAGTTCTTAGCTTCGTTTGTTATGATATACTTCGTAGTATCGCCTGTTATAGTGATTTTATAATGTGTTATCACGAGTGAGTGAGTGATGTAACGACCGGAAGGTAGCGAACGTCGCAACACGCCGAAACCGAAAAACCCACCTCGTGGACGGTCGTCGAGCAAGCAAAGTACAAACACAAAACCAAATTGAATTTGAGGCGAGAACTTGCCTGACTGATTTGTCGCAATGGATACAAATCATTTAGCATTACTATGCACTGCGTGCATGGCAAAGTACACCAGTCCTAACAATAACCTCGTGCAGATATTGGTCAGCGACATAGATTGGTCGCTAAATACAAAATACAACATTTACGTACAGACCGCTATTATTTAGTGCGCATGCTGTATAACTTTGCAAATCACGGAAAATGCAAACGAGTTACATAACTTAATTCAATAGAAAAGACGTGCGCTGCTCACATTAACGAATACAAGGAATTCATGAAACTGACATGATCACACATGTGTGCTAAGCATGCAGATAAATCTGTCCGTGCCTGAGCACGGAGACCAACAGCGACTAACCGATCCCTCGCGAGATGCAGTTGATGATGTCGTTGGCGAAGGCGTGGCAGCTGAAGTAGTCTCTGATGGTGACCTTCTGCAGGAAGTGCTGTCCTCGGCATATGTGGGTACACATGTCCGGCACCCCCTGGTCCTCACAACACGGCAGGTGGTTTCTCCCGTCTGGAAGTGCCCAACACCAGTTGGGCCGTGTTTTCAGTGCGCCAGGCCATGGAGTCACCGACACGCCGGTATGTTTTTGACGTCCGGATACGAACGGGCAAATGTGTAATTGTACTGAAACCCATGTGCTTTTAGAGGAAGAGTTTCAATTGCATCAGCATGGACACAGTAATCCACATGGTACACGTGCGGGAAAGGCGGAGACCTGTCATACATGTGGTAGAAACGCAGTGTCCATGCTACATTTGATTTTTTCTGGCGTGAGCCGGGTTGTAGCCAGGGGCGAAAAAAGCCTCTGATTTACCGGATATGGCAGGTTACAGAAACTGAGACTGTTGCGGGCCAACTGGTGACAAAATTTCGAAAATGAGAACAAGTTTGAACTGACATGAAACAGCATAAAATGCCAAATAATTAGGCCTATTACTAGTCCTAAGAGTCGCAGCTAGCCGCAGCATCTTGCGACGAATGTGATCAGTTTGCTTTGCAGCGTTTTAAAGCGTCGTGCCGGTCGAGACAGATGGTCGCGAATGTTCGCCGCGCAGTAATGCGGTGGGTTCAGTGCAAGGATGTAGGCAACTGTTGGTTGTGCTCATGTCGTGAGGAGCTGACAGTCTGGAAGAGCGTAGCAAATCGTCAGTTTTTTCAGGTAATAGCGTTAAAAGCCCTGCTGATCAAGAAGGGTTGTAGTTTGTGGATAACTAAGCTCCAGTCCCAGAGGTAAACGGAGTACCTTGGAGCGACACATGTCAAGGATTCATCCGGGGATTCCTGCTGCTAAGGGGGACAGCGGCTTGGAGATAAGAGGCCGAACATCGCTGGTGTGGGCCTATCACATTGCCCTTTGCACCTCAGAGTTAGCGTACTGATCGGTGGACACGCGTAAGATAAAACGCTTTTAATGATCATTGTATTGCATATAAAGCTGCATAGAGGTGCGATGGGTGTTCACAAATGTCTGCATCTGTTACCAAATTTAAATGGGCTTTGGTCTTAATAATTGGGATCCTGTTGGAAAAAGGCGAGTAATGCATCGATAATGATTATGCAAAGATAGTGAAGGCCGCCAACACTTCCAGCTGATTTCACGACGACGTCACAAAACCAAAAGTGATATCACCTCCAATGCTATTAAAAAAAACATTTATCGGCAAATGTGGGGCTACAGGGATGCAGTTTTTCAAAGTACGTGTGGGGTGAGACAGGAAAGAGGAGGAGAGCGCAGAAAAAAAATGACTGAGCCTACCCCGAAATCTACTGAAATAAGTTTCTCCCCAGATAAGACGCGCTTTCTTTTCATGCTTAGCAGCAGTGGTGAAGTTTCTAAATATTAGTTTTGGGAGGCCGAACTAAAAAATTGTGAATAATAAAACAACTGATAAAGATGCTAACTAAAAAAGGAAGCCTCATCACTGGTTAGGAGGCGCATTTCCCCTCCCCTCAACTGAAAAGGAAACTAAACGCCTCTAGGCTGGTTATGTTAACTATGCCTTCATCTTGCGATTGTGTTAGCTTAGTCTCACCCATCATTCAGTGTTGGAAAGTCAGCAATTGATGTTTTAGTGCAAATGAACTCCCGAAACTAACATGTTTGGTGGCTGTGCTACGTTTTATCTAATTTGTCTTTGTTTTTGTGGTTTATCACAACTAGAGCTGTATTGCCATGGTTTCGGAAAGATTTGGCTCTAGGTGACAATGAAGATGGTTCAAATTTCGTCAGTGACAGAAAAGACACTTTTTCACCCTTGTTTGTAGTTTTGAGCCAGACATTAACGCAGGCGGTCAAGTATTTATAAAGTTTAACCATAATATGCCAAACCCAGCGCCCGTGCCTGGCCGTTGTCATATTAAAGCAATGCAAGCGTATGCCTTTAACCATCTGGCATGCACTGCATAGACTGCCCGAAAACAGGATTTAGCAGCCTGACTCCCACGCTCTCCGCAGGTTTCAAACAGCTCCCGAGGGCTACCAGATCTCTGCAGCGAATGGCATCAGCTCCACACAGTTTCCGCACATAGACACATTGAAAATTTGTAACGGAGCACTGCCAGGAGAGCTGATCAGGCATAATCTCCGACGGCACTGCAGCATGCTCCAGCCCGCTGTAGTTGCCGCTTGTTGGTGGAATGCTGGTTAACAGGTGGAGTGGTTGGTCTTGTCCCAGTGCAGCAGCATTAGCGGTGGTGATGCGGTGGTGATGTCCGTTTACGCTCACCTGCCGCGCAGTCAACAATTCGGGCGAAGTCGGCTTCGCAGGCGTCCACATCAGCCGGACCGCCGCCCGCCACCAGACCCTGTCCAGCACATGGCCGATCAGGTCACACACAAGGTCAGTTGTCCACATCAGCCGGACCGCCGCCGCCACCAGACCCTGTCCAGCACACGGCCGATCAGGTCACACACAAGGTTAGGCGTCCACATCAGCCGGACCGCCGCCGCCGCCAGACCCTGTCCAGCACATGGCCGATCAGGTCACACACAAGGTCAGGTGTCCACATCAGCCGGACCGCCGCCCGCCACCAGACCCTGTCCAGCACATGGCCGATCAGGTCACACACAAGGTCAGGTGTCCACATCAGCCGGACCGCCGCCCGCCACCAGACCCTGTCCAGCACATGGCCGATCAGGTCACACACTAGGTCAGCTTAGCGAGGAGGATAATTTGAATGACAAGATACACCGCAGGTGGCAGGACCCCGACCAACGGCATCTGGCCTGTTTTGGAGGGCTGGGGTGCACTGGTGAAACGATATTGGTGTTTGCCTCCTAGTCCTAGTCCATATAGTTCGTAACTTTCGACAAGATCCAGTGGCTTTTTAGAAGTTACACGTATCATTGATAAAAACGGGCATAAAAGAGACAATGTGAAACCTAATATAAATAGCCTAACACATCACGCATCGGTCAAGGGATCATCTCGGTGATCACACTACTGCATTCACATTGTAGCATCACACACAATCGAATACACACACGCACCCACTCATGTGCCAACATTCGCCTCAGTAGCAACTCCATAAGTTGGCGCTTGAAGCGGCCTAGACTCTGAACATTGCGCAAGTCGAGCGGCAGGCAGTTAAACAAATCCGATGCTCTGTAGCTAAATCGGCGAGTGCCAGATTTGCTCACCACTCGGGGGCGCCTCAGCTGGTTAGCCTGTCGCGTTTCATGAGTGTGCTCAGCACGTGTGAACATCACTTCTATATCTGGTGGCTGACCCGTGAGTAAGGCTTTTTTGAGCAAGCACAACATATGATATCTGACGAGCTGATCAGCACTAAGCCATCGTAGATCCCTGACAACATCCGATATATGGTCACAACTTCTCTTTCCGCTCACAACCCGCGCACAGAAGTTCACGTGTTTTTGCACGCGATGGAGCTGGGTGGCTCCGTGAGTACCATACAGTGCTATACAGTATCTAATGGAGGAAAGAACTAGAGCTCCGACGATGCGAACGAGGGTGTCTCTTGGGAGTACATGCTTGGCATGGGACAGGGCCATCAGAGCGCCCGTCGACCTGGCAACAGCTGATCAATGCGCTGTTCAAATGTGAGATTTCTGTCCATCACCAAACCAAGGTTTTTGACAGTATTGCTTTCAGTGATGTCAGCTGACCCGAACTTGACATGCACAGGAGGCATATTACGCAGCATAGTCTTTGTCCCGAAAACTATTAACTGCGTCTTTGTTGTATTGACTTTCATTGAGGGTTTGTTAAACCAGTCCAATACAATTGACCAGGTACTCTCCATGGTTCCGACAAGATGTTGCATTGCACTTTTCTTTCCAGTAACCAAAATATATGTGTCATCGGCATATTGTATCACCGTAGCACCTTCTGAATATAACGCTAGATCGTTCGAGGAAATGGAACATAGGAGCGGCCCGAGGGCGGTACCCTGAAATACCCCATCCCATTGGGAAGACAGAGAGCGTGCAGTATGCCCTGAAGGATATCTGATCTGAACCTGTTGGGTATGCCCGCAAAGGTAGCTTTCAAGCCATTTCGTGTCAATATTGTGTATCTTAAGCTTGGATAAGAGAAGCTGGTGATCCACAACGTCAAAGCATTTTGACAGATCTATCAAAACAAGCAGAGCGATCTCCCTAGCATCCATCGCGGTGAGTATTTTATCAGTCACTACAGTAAGTGCGGTCTCTGTTGAAAAGTTCGTACGATATCCGTGTTGTGTATGCGAAAATAAATCACGCTCGTTAAAATATGAGCTAAGCTGATGATGAACAATACGCTCGACTATCTTTGCTATCGCTGGCACTACAGAGATTGGCCTAAATTTGGTAGGATCGTTCAGATCACTGGTTTTCGGGAGCGCTGCGACAAGAGCGTGTTTCCAGGCGCTGGGCACCGTTCCCTCAATGAGACTGCTATTGGTGACGTCAAGTAGGGGACAGCCGACACCACGAAAAGACTTCTGTAAGAGCTGCGTACTAAGTTCATCTAGCACACAGGATGTCGTCGGGTTTATCGCAGACATAGCTGCAAGCAGCTCATCGCATGACAGGATGCACCTTAAATGAGCAGGTCATAACTCGGGGGAGCCTGACTGGCAAAGCCGTGCCTCGGTTCGGCACGCTGGCGGCAGTCGTAGGCCCTACCTTCACAAAGTAGCCATTCAGAGTATCAGGATGAATGTTAGGTGTGGCTGACGTACCCTGTTTACCGCCAATAACCGATTTAACGCACCGCCACATGCCGGAGTGACCTGCCTCAGAAATCTGCTTCCTAATATGATCGCGACAGTCCCGTCTAATAGCTGCCCGTGTCTGCTTATTGAGTGCCTTGTACTCAGCACGCGAACAGCACGCTAGAGCGACGCGGCGACGAACCATCAGCACACGCGTATCAGCTGAGACAGGCGGGGCGGATTGACAGCGCAGTTTAATGCGCCGGGCAGGCGCGACGGCATTCAAATGGGGTGTAAACACTCCTAGAAAAGAGCCCCACTTCTCAGACGTCGTCGCACTTCCATAGACGAGAGACCAGTCGGCGTTCATAAGCAGATCATTGAAATAATCAAAATCAACTCGATTCAGGCAGCGGGATGTGATGACATTGGTTTGGCGTTTCCCTTTCGATACTTTCAGCAATATTCGCGTGAAGTCATGCGGACTATAGTGACAGGCGGTGACACCACAGCGTTGGATGAGGTCCTTGTGATTTGTGATCGTAACATCTGACAGCGAGCCAGCAGGATGGTACGTTGGATAGGAATCGTTACACATATGTAGAGTGTAAGACCGTAACAGCTGCATCAATTTCTGATAGCCGGTGCCTGTGCTCGAGCCAATCAGGTTGATGCTTAAATCACCGGCGATCACTATTGGGCAGTCATATGTGGACATTACACATTGTAACTGGTTCTCAAAATCATCGAGATCATCACACACCTGCCAGGCTGTGTTCGTGGGATGTCGGTACAACGACCCGAACATAATCTGCTTTGCTTTTAGCGGGTCGAACAAGGGTCCAAATAATCTCAAGATTCGATGAACTAATGGCAGTATGAGACGTTTTCAGAACAGTCACATCAAACGAGTCTCGCGCCAGAGCTGCGACCCCTCCGTAACCCCTAGGCAGTCCGCTGTCTCAGGCCGGTCGTGTTGGTATAGCCGGTACCCATCAATGTTCAGCAGCCGGGCGGGGACAGACGGCCGCAGCCACGTCTCACTGAGTGCGAGAATATCAAACTGATGCATATCAGTTAGACTGTGACGTAGATCTGGCAGTTTGGGTTTCAAACTTTGTATGTTTAACTGCGCGACGCATAGTTCACCCGCCGGGCGCCCGCCACCTCGCCCCTCCCCTACAGCCCCGGCGCCGCGATCGCTTGCCCCGGCGCGCCGGCGGCTGTCACCTGAGTCAGGCCCACGGCCACCAGAGGGCCGGCCCGCGCTCCCGCCCGCACCCAAGCCGACCGAGGCAACCCTGGGCTCGCCCCTGGCCGCCGCGGTGACCTGGCGCGGTCCGCACTCAACAGCTGACCCCGCATGGCCCGAGGGCACGCGCCGAGCCGGGAGCCAGGGATTTGGGGTCGGCAAGGCGGCCCGCACGATAACCTGGGCGACCGCCAAGGCCACCAATAGGCGGAGCAGCTGGCGATTCATTGCAGAGCGCAGGCTTGCCGCTAGCTTTCTAGCTCGTCCGCTCCAGAACTGGAGCGGAAATGTTTGTAGTCGCGTTGTTCATAGGCTCAGGAGTCGCCGGTAGTTGTCGCCTCGGGCCCGTCGCTGCACAGCCGGCAGGTAGGTGGTCCCGTCTCGGTAGTCACGGTAGTCACGGTAGTCGGTGGCGATTCACGTGATCGGCGAAATGATCCTTCACCTTCTCACTCGCGCACAGGCACTCTCATTATCACACTGCCACTAAAACTGTTTACGAAACATGGTAAGCGATCAGCTAAAAGGCCACTGTGGTCGCGAGGTGGGGAGAGACCACGGCACGTCCGCCACCGGCGCCGCGCTCAGTGGAGCTGAGCGCTCAGTGGAACAGTGGAACCTCCTTTGCCGAGATCGTGTGGCAGTGAAATGACGAGAGCATTAGCTCAGTCTCGGACATCACCTCGGTTCTTACGAGGCCAGGTGACCGATGACCAGAGAGGTAAGTGCTGGTGGCACAGCTGACCAGTGTGGTAAATACTGATGGCACAGATGACCAGAGAGGTAAGTACTGGTGGCACAGCTGACCAGTGTGGTAAGTGCTGATGGCACAGATGACCAGTGTGGTAAGTGCTGGTGGCACAGCTGACCAGTGTGGTAAGTGGTGGTGGCACAGGTCCGTATTTCAAGGTGACCTTTCAAATGACCAAGCGCCGCCCAGGGACAGTAAAGAGCGATACACATATGAAAAATAACCAAGCAGTGAGCATTGTTGAGCATTCCAAACGCATTCAATATTATTCTATGTTCTGAAATGATATTGGTTATTACTTTAGTCCGAGTGCAGACATCGCAAGGTCCGACAGCACAGCGACCTCAGAAGCTCGGGATGACGTCAGACAGCGGCAGCGGCGGCGGGGCTGACCTCCAGGGTGCAGAGGTGCAGACAGCTGGAGGAGACATTCCGAGCGTGGCAGCAGCGGCCAAACGCGTGCTCCGAGCGCGGGCTGGCGGGGGGCGCCGGCCCCACGCGGGGAGGAGCGAGGCTGGTGGAGATCACTGGAACGGCGGCGGCACGGCACGTCACGGGGAGGGGGAGGGGAGAATACAGGCGGACGCACGCACGGAAACGAAAAGGAAGGCGATGCGGCCGCGTCAATAATAAACAGAGAGAAAGAGAGGCGACAACGGGGGTGGATAAGCTAGACAAATAGTTGGCTCTCTCCGCGACATGGCTTTGCAGCTCAAAACGATGCCACGTCAGTGGGAAAACAGCAAAGTCGTGGCCAGTCGATCGCAAGGATAGATAACAGGAGACAAAACAATGCTAAGTCCTGCCACACTCCGCCCTAACCGAATATGAACGAGCCCCGCCCGCTCCGCTGTTGCAGCACGAGCGTCGCTGGAGAAAGACGGAAGACTTGCCCCTCCTCTTCCCCCCTACCGGGTCCTCACCGTGCAGCCGGTGGAAAGAGCGCGCCACCGGATCGCTGTTCACCTCGCAGACGTACAGACCCTCGTCCCGGACGGTAACGTTGCGGAGAACCAGTACGTACACGTCGCTACCTGCCGACAGAAGCCAGAACTGTCGGCATACGGCGCCGCCTAGCGGTTAAAAGTAGAACCATGCGACCAGTCCAGCCCGGCCGATGGGAAGCGCCCGGCCGGTCACGTGCTCGGACGACTGACAAAGCCTCATTCAATGGGAGGTCAGACGGCCTTCATGGCTGGATGTGGAAGAGCGTGGCAGGAGCATCCAAGGCTAGATGTTTGGTGCTGGTAACCAATAAACACCGGCGTTGATGTGTAATCTTTTGGGTGGACCACTGCTTTCCCATATTCAATCTGCCCCCCCCCCCCTCGAACCTTTTAGAGCCCAGGTTCGTGCTGGACAATAAAAATGGAAGCTCTAGCTTACATAAAAGTTAAAGAAGGCTTCTACTTATACTATCAGAGGTAAAATAAATGGAGACATAATAGGCATACAAGGCATAATACCTAAAGACATCCGGCCACCAAAGAGCCACACGGCCCATCGAGTTAGACTACCTCAGGTTCCGTACATATCCTCGAAACTTATCTTGCCACCTGACCTCCATAAATTTAGCTATAAGTGAGATACTTAGACCGACATTATTTGTCCAAACGGTTTTTGAACGCTCCTAGGGAGGGACTTCCTACATTTTCGTTTGGCAGCCCATTCCGATGGCTCACTATTCTTTGACTAAATCACATCTGTCTCGTAATAGTGCTACCCCTACCTTTTGCTTTATTAAGCTGGTTTCCTGTATGTCTCGGCCTAATTTTCAGCGCTCCATGTAGTGCTTCATCTACATTGGCTATCCCCTTCACTATCTTGTATGCCCTTATCAGATCCCCTCTAAGTCTACGATATTTCAGTGAACACAAATCGAGGCCCCGAGCCTAAACGAACCAAAAATAAAACCTGCGATGTTGTGTCCAGTTCAGTCCACCTGAGTGAATAAGGCGCACCTTTAGGGCTCCGCGGTCACTGTGTTTACTTGAGTCATTCTTCTGTTTTTTTCCGCATGCTACATGTTTTTAACTACACGAGGTTGATAATAGTCTAGTTTTGAAACGTTTGACTTAGGTCTAGTTTTGTGCTATAGAGTATTTTGGCGTAATTAAGCGATGTTTAAGTTACTCAGGCTGCAGCAACTTGCGTTGTTTTGCTACGACGTCTTTGCGGAAAATGAAACAAAGCGTTATAAAGTTATGAGCCATCCACACTCGGCGAAACCCTTGAAATGTGTCGGCCTTCACTTTAACATGAATTTTCGATGAAACAGTAGGAAAAATCTGGCGATCAACAGTAGCTGACCAAATCGATAGCGGTAATCGTCCCACCATGGCCACGAGCACTAGCGGAGCCGAGCAACAGGCCTAGCACTAGCGGAGCCGAGCAGCAGGCCTAGCACTAGCGGAGCCGAGCAGCAGGCCTAGCACTAGCGGAGCCGAGCAGCAGGCCTAGCACTAGCGGAGCCGAGCGGCAGGCCTAGCACTAGCGGAGCCGAGCAGCAGGCCTAGCACTAGCGGAGTCGAGCGGCAGGCCTAATGGGAGAAATGCTCCTGCACTCCGCCTTGCGGCAACCAGCCGGGATTTCCATGGCAGACGTAGGTCGTACAAATCAACTCACACTCTGCTCCCGAAGAAGACACTGCTCTTTGCTCCCGAACCCGTGTACGTCCAACAATATTTGAAGCCACACATCATCGACTCTACGTCGGTTGCCGAAACCTGGTTTTGGCGATCGGTGCCAAACAAAATTATAACGATGCCCAACGACAGCATTTTTGCCGAGACAGAACAAGCAGGCGAGCTCCGAACGCCGTGACGACAGCGATGGCGTCACACGGGGATGACGTCACCATGAGAAGTGTGTCGTCACTGGGCCCATGTCGCCTATCGCTCCGTCTCGGACAATAGTTCATTCATCACAATAATGATTCACTAAAAATTAATCCATAATGAATATGTTATCAATATAAAACTATTCCTTACAATCATACAAAATTCTAAGAACGGCCAGGCTCCTAGCCACGTAATCACTGCAGTGTTTTGAAGTGCGCGCTGCGCTTGTTTGTTGTAAGCTACGAGTTAGCTCCTGAGTTATAAGCTGCGAGTTAGCTCCTTAGCGAGTTACAGCACGCTTACACACGCCGAAAACCGACCTATCTCCCGACGCGTGTTTACAATGTAGGCCGGCTTACCAACGGCAGCACCTTCCTCAGGCAGGCCTGCGAAAGCGACAGGATGTCAGCACGAGGCAAGGACACACACACCTGATACAGCGCGAAGCCAGCATGGCCGGCAAGCTATGGCCTGCACGCCACGATGGCTTCTTGTGGACAAGATGAGACGGGGGAGAAAACATAAGGCATCCAACAGAAACTTAGCCCGTGCCAGGCAAGCAACGAATCACTAGCTGGGAGGGGGGGGGGGGGGCACGTATCAGATATGAAAATACAGCAGGCAGAGGAAACTACTGATGACCCTCCATAATCCACTCCCCCCCCCCCCTGCGCAGGCCGACGAAACTACTGACGACCCTCCACAATCCCCTCCCCCCCCCCCCCCTCTGCGAACCGACAGGGTCTCTCCCAAGCGCTGTCGTGCCCCCAGCAAGTCAGTATCAGTGAAGCGCAGTGTGGTACGAAACAGGGCATCCACTTCGTGACGCCTTTCTACACTGCAGCACTGCAGGAATTAGTGCTCTGCGGCAGCGCAGCGCTGTTCGGCTATGCGGTGAAGTGACCCAGGTTTGGCGGGTCACGTGATACACACAGCTGCCGCGCCGACCGCTGAGCCTGGCGGGCGGGCAGATCCGTCGACCCTCCCCCCCCCCCCCCACTCGCAGCCGTGATGCCTGGTGTGATGCGGTGTGCTGAGATATCTTGAGGTACGTTGAGATTTTTATGTACGTTGGGTACGTTGTCGCTCGTTGTCGTACACTGGTGTACGTTGTGTTACGTTGCAGTAGGTGGTAGTACGTTAAGGTAGGTGACGGTACGTTGAGGTACACGACGGTACGCTGTGATATGTTGATGTACCATGAGGTACGCGGTGGTACGTTGCGGTTCGTTGAAGACGTTGAGGTACGTGGAGGTGCGTTGAGGTACGTTGGGTTACGTGACGGTCCGTGACGGTACGCTGTGGTACGTTGAGGCGCGGCTGAGCTCGGCACGGCGTGATGTGAGGTCTGGCGCCGCACCGTTTCCCGCGATGTTGTGCTGGACGACGCGGCACTGTGTGGTAAGGCGTGGCGCCCAAGGGTTGAGCTTGTATCCAGCTGGCGATGTTTGGGGGCCTCCCCCACCTGCAGCTCAGCCTCCCACCGTGACAGATATTCCCGGCGGACCTTAACATCTTGAGAAGAAACCAACAAAACAAAGGGGACAATGTTAATATAAACAAACAATTACGGAACACTGCTAATAGTTTCTTTACGTGGCAAAATAAAAGAGCACAAACTCAGAACGCAGCAGATGCCTGGGAGTTTCCCTGGCTGGTCGGCTCAGGACACTCATGGTCGTCATATGCCGCAGCGTTGCACCCGGAGTGACGTCATATACCGCAGCGTTGCACCCGGAGTGACGTCATATACCGCAGCGTTGCACCCGGAGTGACGTCATATGCCGCAGCGTTGTATCCGGAGTGACGTTACCACCGAGAGAGTAGCTTACAGTCCTCCGCCCCACCCCCACCCAGCCGGCATTACAATATATCGTCGCTGGTGGCGGTACTGAGTTTGCCGCGACTCCGGCAACCCCCCCCCCCCCCCCACACACACACACTCACCGCCGTGCAGCACCTGCAAACGGGGGTCCCCCGTCACTCGGCTGCGGCCGGCGGCCAGCAGCTCGGCCGTCCGAAGTCTGGTCGGACTATGGCGGCCGTCGGCGCCGGCGCGACGCCATAGCACCGTGCCGCCACCCAGACCGTGGACGATGCACGTGAGGAGCGCCTCCCCTCCGGCGGGCACGTACTGGGGGCCGCGCACGCTCGCTGATAGACCCCGGTCGCCTGCAGGTACGGCCGGTCAGAGGGCACCAGGTCAGAGGGCTGTTACGGGTCACGGAATTAAAGGGAGGGCCACATGTCACGAAATGAGAGGGTGGGCCACATGTCACGGGGTCTGAGGGTGGGTCCAGGTCACGGGGTCAGAGGGCAGGTCGCGCGGCGGGGTCGGAGGTCAGAAGGCATGACTGGTGTTCAGCCAGGAGACAGGGGTCTGGTTTCAGCGCATGCTTCAGAGCTCAGGTCACATACCAGGACAGGCCACGTGTTTGGGGTCAGGTCACATGGTCTACACCAGGTTTCGAAGCAAGGCAAGGGCAAAATGGGAGGAGGCAGAGTGAAAGGTCAGATCACACGTCCAGGGTCATGTCCCGTGATTAGTGTCGGGCACAGGTCAGCGGTCAGGCGCGCAGAGAGGGGTCACAGGAAATGACACATGATCGCTGTCAGGTTATAGGTCCGGGGTTAGGTCAAACGTCAAATCCCGACAAGGTCAAAGCAAAGCTATCTTACCACACGGTCATCGGCGCAAGCTTCTCCTCACGCGTAGTCGCCAGGCGCAGCGTGCAAGCCTGAACGCACGATGTTACTGCATAAAAACCAGCCGCAGGCTTGCATACTACACGAACACAATAACGTGGTTGGTCATTAGGATGCCTGCAGAGTCTGTATGCGATGTGCATATTAATCACAAATCATTTAATTTAAGTACGTTTGGCTGCTTGCAGCATGCCATTACAGAGCTACTGGGTAGACCGGGATCAGCCACTCCATCCGGGCGGCTCTCCAGCGTCAATATCGCTCCAGTGATACACTGCGTCAATATCGCTCCAGTGAGACACTGCGTCAATATCGCTCCAGTGAGACACTGCGTCAATATCGCTCCAGGGACACACGGCGTCAATATCGCTGCGGTGATGCTCTGTGTCAATATTGCTCCGGTGATACATTGCGTCAATATCGCTCCGGTAATACACTGCGTCAATACCGCTCCGAGTGATACACTGCGCCAATATCGCTCCGAGTGATGCACTGCACCAATATCGCTCCATTGATACACTGCCCAGATTCGGCGGACCAGCGTGCAGAGGATCGCTAGCTCTCGTCACTATGACAACTAGCAATATTGCAAAGCGCGAAGGCCAAGGCCAAGGCCGGAGAGAAGACATGGCTGGCAGGGCTGGCGCGTGTCAGGATCGGCATTTCGGCTGAAGCCAAGCGGTTCGCCAGGCATTCACTCCACGCAGTCTTTCCCGAACTCATGTTAGCTGTCGTGGGCCTCGCCCCCGGCATGCCGCTAGGGACGATTAGTGGTGTTATGTAAAAGCTCCGTCCCCAATGAACTGGCTTGGCCTTCAACCCGAGGAGCTGACAGCAGCCGGATTATGGTTATCGGAAGGACCCGCTGGCAACAAACCACGAGTCGTGATCCACGTCTCAACATTTTATTGTTAGAGATCTGCCCTTGACATCGCGGTGGCTGTTAAATTTCACTTCTGCCAGGCGACCATTCTTTTCCCCCGCCCGATTTAGTTGTTCATCGCGCTTCGGCACGTTCAAGCAGCGGCGATCTTGCTGCACAGCCAACGAAGCCCGGCTCACGTGACGTCATACCGGTTGGCATCCCGGGTCACGTGACGTCATACCGGCTGGCAGCTCGGCTCACGTGACGTCATACCGGCTGGCAGCTCGGCTCACGTGACGTCATACCGGCTGGCAGCTCGGCTCACGTGACGTTATACCGGCTGGCAGCTCGGCTCACGTGACGTTATACCGGTTGACAGCTCGGCTCACGTGACGTTATACCGGTTGACAGCTCGGGTCACGTGACGTCATACCGGCTGGCAGCTCGGCTCACGTGACGTCATACCGGCTGGCAGCTCGGCTCACGTGACGTTATACCGGCTGGCAGCTCGGCTCACGTGACGTTATACCGGTTGACAGCTCGGCTCACGTGACGTCATACTACACAGCTGCCGAGGTCCGCAGACATTCCGCCACTCACCTGAGACGGTGACGAAGAAGGCGAGGAGAACCGCCCAGCGCGTCAGGCCAGCAATCCCCGCCAGGATCTGGTGACGGCAGAGACGCCCGTGGTGATGCTACGCTCAGTCCATACACACATGTACACTGGGACCTGGCGGGGACCTTGAGGGCTGACTCCGCGCAGAGACCCTCATAAAGAGGAACAGGGCGAGGGACACTGGGACCTGGCGGGAACCATGGGGGCTGACTCCGCGCGGAGACCCTCGTTAGGAGGAGCAGGATGAGAGAAGCCTGCAGCTACAACACTACGGCCTGCAGAGCGGCTGGGTGAGCGCCCGCTGCGAGAGTGACGTTTATGCCACGTCACAACGCCGAGAGTGACGTAACTGTCACGTCACAGCTCCTACAGTGTCACGTCAGGGCGCCCAGAGTGACGTCACTGTCACGTCACAACGCCGAGAATGACGTCAATGTCGCGTCATAGCGCCGAGGGTGACGGCACCGCAACATCACAGCGCCGACAGTGACGTCAATATCACGTCTTAGCATCGAGGGTGACGTCACAGCAACATCACAGTGCCGAGCGCTGCCGCTGAGCTGTCGTAGTGCGGCGTGTCAGTGATGGGGCGTACTGGTGAGCACAGTGAGACACGATAGTGAAGTATTACTGTAACACCGTGTGACGCGTGTCAGTAATGCGATGTGCCATTAACCACTGTGCGAGATGGCCAGACATGCCTGTAATACTACGAAACCCATTTCAAAAGCCGTGGCGTCACAGGGTAAGCCAGACAGCCACTGACCACAGCCGTGGAGTCACGTCGTAAGCCAGACAGCCACTGACCACAGCCGTGGAGTCACATGGTAAGCCAGACAGCCGCTGACCACAGCAGCGGCGTCACAGGGTACGCCAGATAGTTGCTGACCACAGCAGTGGCGTCACAGGGTAAGCCAGACAGCCGCTGACCACAGCAGTGACGTCACAGGGTACGCCAGATAGCCACTGGCCGCGGCTGTGGTGTGCTGGCTTCCCAGGCCCGGGGCCCATCACGCGGGGAAACGACACGCCGGTAACATGCGCAGCCCGTGACACGTGCTGCACACCGACGTCTGCGAGCCGACTGTGTTTTGCATCCGGCTGGAGGTCGGTGTATCACGTTTAGTTTGGTATCCGGCTCCAGGTCGATGTATCACGTTTAGTTTGTTATCCGGCTGGAGGTTGTTGTGTCACGTTTAGCTTGGTATCCGGTAGGAGGTCGGTGTATCACGTTTAGTTTGATATCCGGCTGGAGGTTGTGGTATCACGTTTAGTTTGTTATCCGGCTGGAGGTTGTTGTGTCACGTTTAGCTTGGTATCCGGTTGGAGGTCGGTGTATCACGTTTAGTTTGGTATCCGGCTGGATGCTGTTGTGTCACGTTTAGTTTGGTATCCGGCTGGAGGTTGTGGTATCACGCTTAGTTTGGTGGTACCGCAGCGAATCTCTGCAGCGTTACGGATCAGTTCTATCTTGAGATGGTTATCACACCAACACACCGGCAGAGCTTGCTGGTTTACAGCTGCCCGGGGCTTCGACGCAACGGGAATTGTGCATAGTGATGGACGCTTTTTCATCTGCAATGTCACAGTAAAAGACGTGATAGCGCCCAAGCCTATTACAGTGGGCTTAAGGAATGGTAGGCCCTTTCACTGCCGTGTAAATGCATTCCTAGATTCCCACCTACCGTTTTGTAGCATGTCGATAGAAGTGGGGAGCATTAGACAGACCTGCGAGGTCAAGACGGTGGCCTTGATGAGCTGGGCCCAGCCGTCCGGGTTGGGATCAGGTCGAGACGTCGGGGGCTCAGATCATGTCAGAAAACATCGGCTGTGACTGTAAGGGGAATGCTGCATGTTTAAAGATGTTGAAAGAAACATGAAATATTGCGAAAAAGCTCACTTACAAGTATTGGTATACTTTTAAGTGCAAAAGGCTGCTCTAGACGAAACAATATCTCTGTTTAATAAATATCCTCCACGATACGGTATTATTTGACTACGTTTTTGTGCCTTGCACAACATTGGTTGAGAGCCAATTGGCCACCGTTATATCTGGAAACCGTCGTTACGCACGCCAGATATG